ATTTCCTGCTTAATAAAAAAAAAATGGAATTTAGATGTTGTATGACATCACAGCATCTTTCCAAGGCACTGTTAAAAAGTTCCTGCGTAGGGCTGGGGTTGTAGCTCAGTGGCAGAGCACTTGGCCTAACATGTGTGAGGCACTGGGTTCAATCCTTAGCACCACATAAAAATAAATAAAGGTATTTTGTTCATCTACAACTACCCCCCCAAAAAAAAAAAAAAAGTTTCTGCATAGAATTTTTGGGTTATTTTTTTCTGTTTGAAAGAATAGATACAAAATTTAGCATATATGATTATACAACCTGTATAACTCTACATCATGTACAATCAGAAGAATGAGAAGTTACACTCCATTTATGTATGATGTGTCAAAATGCATTCTAGTGTCTTGTATAAATAATTAGAATAAATAAAAGAAACAAAATCCAAAAATAAATATAAATAAATATATATATTTAGAACATGATTGCTTGTTATCCAAAATGTCTATATATACTTTTCATTTATTTGAACTGTTTATTTCCCATAAAGTAGAGAAGTAAGTTAACTATACTTTCATGCATATACAAGTTTGTTCAAGCATTAAAACAGGTAGTTGTATTCCCTCCCATATCCATTTTATAGTAAGAGAGGCCATACAAAGTAACTCTTTGTAATAACTTGATGGGTAATGGCAATAAGATTCCCACATGTGAAGTCTTAGTGTTGGGTTTTGTTGAACCTGAAAACAATCATAGCTTATGTTTTAAATAACATACTTGAGATGTACCCCCCAAACAATTAATATAATATAAACACTTTAACTCATCACCCAGCTTAAAAAATAAATTACCACAAAACTGATATCCATGTGTATCTCTCCTCTTCCACATAGCCTATATTATAGTTCCCCTATAGAATTAATAAATCCTGAGTTGTTTTTTCCTCCTCTTCCTGTGTTTCTATGGCCATCCCTAAAAGATAATTTTTATGTTTTTAAACTTTGATTTAAATATTCTTTATCTTCTTGTTTTCAGTTGATTTCTTAATGTTTATGTAATTTATTCATGCTGATGCATATAGATAATTTATTTTTACTGTTGGGAATAATATTTCCTTGTTTCAGAATGCAGACTGTACTTATCCATTCTCCTGTTGATGGACATTTAGTTATTTCCAGCTTTTGGTTAGTAAAAATAATGCTGCTATGAATATGATCATACAAACTACTACTTGGTTGATAAATAATAACAAAAGTGAAAACAACATAAAAGTTCATAAATTGATGAATGGTTAGATAAAATAATGGAATATTATTCAGCTATAAAAAGGAATAAAGTACTGATACATGTTCTAAAATGGATGAACCTTAAAAACATTATGTAAGTGAAAGAAGTCAGTCATATAATACCACATAGTGTATGATTCTATTTATATGAATATCCAGAAGAGACAAGTTCATTGAGACAGAAGGTAGATGAGTGGTTGCTAGAGTCTTAGATGTGGATAATAGTGGCTGTTAGTGGTTTTGGGGTTCGTTAGGGAATGATGAAATGTTCTAAAGACAGATCATGATAAGAGTGTGCAACTGAATATATTAATAAAAACATTGGGCTATACATCTTAGATGTATGAGTTTATGTTGTTTGAACTATAGAAGTTAAGAATAATTTACAGTCTTTTTTTCAAAATCAATCCACTAGTAGATTGTAAGCCATTTTGGAGGGTCACTAATAGAATTTATTTTTTTAAAAAAATGGGAGCAAAAGGGTAGCTCACAGATCTTATTTAGGTGTATCAATTTCATGAAACATATAATCAAATAAAAATAGTTTGGGAGAGGGTTAGTTCTGGGGATTGAATCTAGGACCACTCTACACACTAAGCTAGATGTTCCCTTTGTATTTTGAGACAGAGGTCTCACTTAGTTGCCAAGACTGACTTCCATCTTGTGATCCTCTTGCCTCAGCCTCTCATAGCTGGGATTATAGGTTGTATACCTGTAAGGTGCCAAGCTTAAATACCATGCTCTTGATGATTACGAATGCATAGTATTTGCACACAAGAGGTCCTCAATAAAATTTTGATACTTAGGTGTTACTATTTATTTGGGTGACTAGTGATTAAGGTGAAAGAAGGGTAGTTAGGAATGAGGATTATACCAGAAATGGAAACCATAAAGTTGAAAGAATCCATAAATACAAGAAACATTTTAAACTTTTCTGTGTCAGCTCTCTCAATGTTGCCCAGGCTGACCTCAAACTTGCCGTCCTCCTGCCTCCTGAGTAGCTGGTATTGCTGTTGTGCACTACTGTGCCCATTACTTTTTTCCCCCCTCTCCCTTTTGAACAGGAATAGCAAATTCTTGAGGCATGAAATAGATAATGAAGGGTTTAAAAGCATAGACTGTTTTGGAATTCTCCTTTTTTATTCTAGGAAGAATAATCTTTAGTTTCTAATGTTAATTAACTTGGATTTCCAATAGCATTTTTTTCAGATTTTTATACAGTCTTTTAATGCTCATCAGAGTTAAGAGTGGTCTTGAATTCTTTAATGTTGTCATTTTATTTTTCTTTGAAGATCTAATGGTAACTGTCTCTGTTTCCTGAAATTTTCTTTTTGTTTTTGTTTTGATTTTTTTTTTTTTTTTTATGACAGGCTTCTTTCAATTGTTTGATTTTCTTAATGGACATCATGTAAAAGGAGGCATTGCTTAAAAACCTGGATAACTTGAAAAAGCTAAGACTATGCAAGGGTCAGAGGAAATTTAAAACTACAAATAATATCCTTAAGATTGAAAAAAAAGGAGGCAATACATCATTGAAACAAAATAGAAATCTTAAAAAAATGTTCAAGAGGAAAAAATGATAATTTAAAAAGTTAGAAATTTAAAAGACAAGTTAGGAAGATAAATCTGAAGAGTAGAACAAAAACTAAAGAGGTAAAGAAAAAAATTAATGGAGCATGCCAGAGGGTTCAGTAGCTGCAAAGATAGTTCTAAAGAGAATAGAAATAAACAAGAGGATTAAATTTTCAGTGAAATACAGGAAATTTCCCCAAATTGAATATGAGTCTAATTTGCAAGGGAACACAAGGTACTTAGCAAGATAGACTCCCCACTTTTTTAAAGTTGTAGACGGACACATAATATCTTTATTTTTATGTGGTGCTGAGGATCAAACCCAGTGCCTCACAAATGCAAGGCAAGCATTTTACCACTCAGCTACAGCCCCAATCCTGCAGGATAGACTTTTTAAAAAACCATTCAGAAGGGCTAGAGTTGTAGCTCAGTGTACAGCACTTGCCTAGCATGTGTGAAGCACTGGGTTTGATTCTTGGCACTGTGTATAAATAAATAAAATAAAGGTTCATCAACAAATTTAAAAAAAAATTTTAATTTCAGAAAACTTTAGACCGTAAAGATAAAAGAGAAGATCTTTAAAAAATAACTTTTCAGAGAGAAAAACAAGCCCTCTTTCCAGGACTCAAGAAGCTAAAGGTCAACAGAGATGTATTTTTATACTTGAACTAAAAATTAAGGATGAGGATAAAATAAAGATTTGATACATCCTAATAAATTTACCTCCCATGCACCTATTCCGCAAAGTTACCGACAAATATATATGTTACAAACGAGTAAATTAAGAGAGAACTGTGGGATCCAGGATTGGAAAATCCAAAATACAGGACAGTGGTAACTTTAAAATTTTTTTTAGTTGTAAAAGAACTTAATACCTTTTTTTTTTAAGTATTATTTTTTTTAGTTGTAGTTGGATATCATGCCTTTATTTTATTTATTTATTTTTATGAGGTGCTGAGGATGGAACCCAGCACCTCACGTGTTAGGCAAGTGCTCTACCACTGAGCCACAACTCCAGCCTCCTGCCCTTCAAGATTTAACACATACCACAAATAGAGGATGGTTAGACTGACCACCAAAATCTAAATCATTAATCATGCTTGCCTACATGTTTCTTATTTCTCAATAGTCCATATAACTGGTTTTGTATTTTTTTCTGCTAAATTGAGTTTTTGAAAATGTAAATAAATATTTTTAAATGGGGATTAAATTTTCTTTTCACAAAACTTTCAAAAGGAATGCTAAGCCAGGCGTGCTGTTGCATGCCTGTAATCTCAGCAACTCCATAGTCTGAGGCAAGAGGATGCCAAATTCAAGGCAAGCCTCAGCAATTTAGAAATACAGGAAATAAAAAATTAAAAGGAGAGCTCGGCATGGTGGCATAAGCAAATAAAATAAAGGACCATCAACAACTAAAAAAAATAAAAATAAGAAAAAGTATTCATGGCCAAGACTTAGACGGAAAAGCCCCAAAATGTTAATAGTTGTTCAGACTAGGGGTGCCTTTAAACAAGTGTTTTCCAGCAGTTCTACATTTTATTTGTTATTTTTACAAATTAGGGAATATTTTGACCCCTATCTGGTAGTCTAACTTTAGGAAAATAATTATAGATACAGAATAAACATTATCCAGAAATATTCAACACCTTTATTTTTAGTAATGAAAAATCATATAAAAGTTAAATGTTCAGGTAACTAGAATGTGCCAAAGTAAATGGTGGTATTTCTGAATGAACTGTGTTAAGATTTAAAAGATTACCTAAAAATAACGAAAGATAGAATAGAAAAAGCAGGAAACAAAATGTTTATGCAATATATGATTACAGATAAATATTTTTATAAATTTACAACAATACTAGAGGAAAATCAGTAATTTCTCAGTGACTATATTTAGACATTAAGATTCAGGTAATTTTTCCCCTTTGTACTCTTGTATAGTTTCCAAATTTTATTTAGTTATCAGGTATGAACTAACTTTAAAAACTAGTTTTTTCCCTAACACAAAGTAAAGCTATAGCTATGGTTTTTAGGCTCCTACTTGATAAGATTTTTTTTATATGTGTCTCAAAATTGGGGGGGGGGGGGTTGCTAATGATGTTTTCTTCAAGCCCTCTTTTCTTTGGTTTATATGGAATAAATGTATTTGTGTCATTTCTTAGATCTGAAACTCAACACCGAGGCTCTGCTCCCCATTCTGAGAGTGATATACCAGAGCAGGAAGAGGAGATTCTAGGATCTGATGATGATGAGCAGGAAGACCCTAATGATTATTGTAAAGGTAAGTTTGTTAGGGGATACACAGTAAGATTTCCCATTACTCATTTGGATATTTTGTCTATCAGAATAAGCACAGTTTTAATGCTTTTCTTGAAGATACAGGAATAGTGTTTGCTCTTGATTTGATATAAGGCATCAAAGCCAAATTTTATATTAAATGTTTATTTCTTTTTTAAAATGTTAGTACATATTACCTTAGAAATTTTCAGACATATATTAAATAGAAAAGAAAAGCTGTGGGCTGGGGATGTGGCTTAAGTGTAGCGCACTCACCTAGCATGTGTGAGGCACTGGGTTTGATTCTCAGCACCAAGTAAAAATAAATAAAGATATTGTGTCCATCTAAAACTAAAAAAAAAAAAAAGAAAAGCTGTTTTCAGTGCTGTAAACAAGTATAATATTTTGGTGTGTGTATATACTTTTTTAAATACCTTATTACTTTTTTCTCATCTCATGATAACTGCTTAGATAAGTTAAACTGGAATCACAGGTACATAAACTATGTCATCAGATTGCTTCTATCTTTTCTGTTTCTTGGTGAGATTTCTCAGGATCCTTGAGGTAGGAACTTATAATCGAATATATTGTACTATCTAGGATAAGAAGTTGCTTGCTGAGTTCATATATTTATTTATTTTAGTTATAGTTGGACATAATACCTTTATTTTATTTATTTATTTATTTATTTATTTTATGTGGTGCTGGGGATCGAACCCAGTGTCTCCCATGTGCTAGGTGAGTGCTCTACTGACAAGCCACAACCCCAACCCCAATCTGTTGGGTTTTGAGTGGCAAAAGTAACCTTATACAAAACCTTATTTTTGGGGATGGGGTTCTTTTGAAGAGCATCACTTGCTCAATTTAAAATCTTACTAAGATTTTATGGGGCTAGGAAAGATAGTAGAATGAATCAGACATTATTAACCTATGTATATATATGATAAAACAACTGGTGAGATTCTACATCATGTACAATCAGAAAAATGAGAAATTGTACTCCATTTATGTGTGATGTATCATAATGCATTCTATGTCAGGTTTCCATGGAATCTCTATACTACTTTCCATATTGGCTGCACCAATTTGCAGTCCCACCAGCCATGTATGAGTACTTTTTTCCCCACATCCTCGCCGTCTGTCTTCATAATAGCTGCCATTCTGACTGGAGTGAGATGATATCTTAGAGTAGTTTTGATTTGCATTTCTCTGATTGCTAGAGATGATGAGCATTTTTCCATATATTTGATGATTGTATAATTAAAACAAATTTTAAAATCTTAAGATTTGTTTGTAACATAAACTCAATAATACTGTGTGGCTAATTTGACATATAAGGTTTGACATATAATCTATTGAATTGATTTTATAGGAGAAACTTTTGATAAAAGGCATATAAATGTTCAAAAATGGGATATAAGATACCTTTTCTTACTATTTTATTCTCATCCTGGTTCTTCTTATATTCTTTCTCTTTTTCCTTCCAGGAGGTTATCATCTTGTGAAAATCGGAGATCTGTTCAATGGGAGATATCATGTAATCCGAAAGTTAGGCTGGGGACATTTCTCAACAGTGTGGTTATCATGGGATATTCAGTAAGTTTTACTGGTCCTTAAAAAAAATTTTAGTTAAATGATACCTCCATGTTTTTGTCTGATTTCCCAGAGATGGTCTGGGCTTCAGTCTGTCTATCTCTAGATTGGTTGGTTGATTTCTTTTCCATATATATGTGGGAGAGTTTAGGGGCTTTTTTTTTTTTTTTTTTTTAAGACTGATTTCTTGAACAGAATTTTGTTGTTGAAAGTAATCGTTTTGGGGGGCAGGGAGGTACCAGGGATCGAACTCGGAGGCACTCACCACTGAGCCACATCCCCCAGCTGTATTTTGTATTTTATTTAGGGGGAGGGAGTCACTGAGTTGATTAGTTCCTCGTTTTTGCTAAGGCTGGCTTTGAACTTGTGATCCTCCTGCCTTAGCTTCTCAAGCCACTGGGATTATAGGCGTGTGCCACCATGTCTGGTGAAAAGTAATCTTTATGTTCTTGGACAAATCACTTTTCTGGTCATCAAGAATCAGTAATATATATTCTTCCCCACCTTGGGCACAGGAGATTGATTAAATTACTATCAGCAAAATACTTGGAGCTCCCAAATTCAAAGCCTTGCCAAATATTCAATTGTGTGTAAATTAATAATTGTCTTCTCACTCAAGTATTGTTAAATTTTTGGATAATGTTAGACCAACCTTTGTGAAATTATTTTTGTAACAGATTTGGTCAATTATGCACTTAAAATTTTTCTTTATATAAAAATTATAGACAATAAAAATACCTCTGTAACATTGAATATTTAGCTAAGCATATATCATCTTTTATTTACTTTTATGACTTACAAGATTTTATTTTATAAAATAAAGTGTTTTACATCCTGTAGACCAAAACCAATTTTTCTTTTAACTGAATCTTTTTTGTCACATTTTCAATACTTAGACAAAACATCACTGGGGCAAAAAAAAAAAAAACCCTCAGTGTGACTACGCCTGGCTGAGGCCCTATCTTTGATGAGACAGTAATTGCTATCTGTGTACCTCACTATATATATATATATATGTATGTATATATATATATATATGTATGTATGTATATATATATATATATATATATATATATACATATATATATATATATATTTGTGTTTGTGTGTGTGTGTTTGTGTTTTTGTCATTTCTGGGCCACATCTCCAGCCCTTTTGCATATTTTATTTGGAGACAGGATCTTGCTAAATTGCTTAGGGTCTAGGTAAGTTGCTGAGGCTGACCTTAAACTTGTAATCCTCCTGCCCCAGGCTTCCAGGCCGCTGGGATTATAGGCATGAGTTACTGCGCATAGCTTGTGTCATTTTGTTTTCATCCAAGTATTCCTTTTGGTGCTCGCTTGCTCTCGCGCGCTCTCTCTCTCTCTCTCTCTTGTGCTGGGGATCAAACCCTGAGCTTTGTGCATGCAAGGCAAGCACTTGACCAACTGAGCTACACCCCCAGCCCTCTTCTGGCTTCTTGTAGTAAAGTGTGGTATAGCTTTTATCCTTTTAACTTTTGCCATATAGATGTGTACGCAGTACTTCTGATTTGATGAGGTTTTTCCTCTTATTTGTTCTAGTTTCTTGGTTTTACTTGGAATTCAGGGGGTTATTAAGAAGGTAGATTTAGCTTAGAGAAAAGATTCAGTGACAGGTTATCTGAGGATAGATTGTTTTCTTCCTGTAAATAAAATCTGGGCAGTGCCTTTAATAGTTATAAGCAATCCTCTACTTTTGTCTACAGGGAAATATGAAATCAGTATTTGTATTTGTTCACTGTGTCTCAGTTATAATAAAATCTTAGCTTCCAAAAGTGAGAGTAGGCTGGGTTCAGTGGCACCTGTCTGTAATCCCAGTAGCTCAGGAGGCTTTGGCAGGAGGGTTTCAGAGTTCAAAGCCAGCCTCAGCAATGGTGAGGTGCTAAGCAACTCAGTGAGACTGAAGTGCCCCTGAATTCAATCCTCCGTACCAAAAGAAAAAATTGAGGGCAGCATGTTTAGTCTTAATTGCTTATGTTTGTTTCTTAGAGGGAAGAAGTTTGTGGCAATGAAAGTAGTTAAAAGTGCTGAACATTATACTGAAACAGCTCTAGATGAAATCCGGTTGCTGAAATCAGTGAGTATTATATTTATGAACTGCAAAAAGCATTATAAAGTTTTATAAGATACTAAGTGGTAGACTCTTTAACATGGCAAAATTTTTAGTATACTTCTAATAGCCTAAGGAAATTGAGGAAGAGGACAATATTTGCACATTCTAGTCATGTAGTTGGGAATTGTTATGACATGCTGTTGTAAGAATTCTCCCTACGCAGAGAGAGACCCCCAAAATTTTTCAAACAGATCTTTATTGAGCATGTTTTGTATGCCAGATCATGGTAAGAATACTCCTATACACACAGACACCCAAAAATTTTTTCAAACAAATAAAACTTTATTGAGCATGGTTTATATGCCATAAATATTTATGTCTTCTACTGTGGTTAAAAGGAAAGTTATGTGATTACATTTGGAACATCTATTTTATGTTTAAAAATATGTAACATAAAAAATAAATACTGCATTCATTAATTCCATCTTAACCTGGAAACTTGAGCAGATTTTATCCAAAAAAATTATCACTTTGTTACAAATTAAGAGGAAATCAGTGTGATAAAAATTAGAGAACCTGGATTTTGTTTCATCTTTATCCTGGTATCTTCTTTATCACTTCTTCTTCTTCTTCTTCTTTTTTTTTTTTCTCTTTCTGCCCCTCAGTGTTTCATTCATTTTATGAATGTTGGACCAGGAAATCTCTAAGGCAGTGTGCCAGTTTATGATGAGAATAAGGAGCATGTGCCCAAAAGCAATTCAGTGTACTGTTTAGTTTGTTTTCTTTTTTTTTTTTTTTTTGTGCTGGGGATCAAACCCAGGGCCTTGTGCATGCAGGGCAAGCATTCTACCAACTGAGCTATATCCCCAGCCCCACTGTACTGTTTATTTAAGAAAGTTTTTGGATTTGAATCCTGTGAAAGCTCCTTAATTCCTCATAACTTGGTAACCAGCAATTGATTTGGAGGCAGCACTTCAAGTTACAAAATAGTTGAATTAGAAAATTAGTGTATATATTTATAGGAGCCCATTCTTGGAGTTGGGTTGCTACAGGTATTCTTCCTCTACCATTTGGCTTATTTCTGTGCTTTTTCCCTCTTGATGAATATTATCTCTTCCCTTTGTACAGGTTCGCAATTCAGATCCTAATGATCCAAATAGAGAAATGGTTGTTCAACTACTGGATGACTTTAAAATATCAGGAGTTAATGGAACGCGTATCCTTTTAAGAACTTATTCTTAAATAAATCAGGAATTGACTTTATCCCAGAGAAAGGAGCTGGATTTGTACAAATTGCGCTTATGTGATTTCTTAGTAAATAAAATATAAAATTACCTTCTTTTATTGAACTTTTCTGATTTATGTCTATTTTTGTGTGGCATGCTTTTTCAGGATATTCTTTTGGGTTTCCATCTTAGAAAAATCAAAGCAAATCCAAAGGAACCATTTAAAAAAAAAAAAAAAGCTTTGTGTTACTAAATAAATATTCTATGATCTTTACCAACTATCACAGAAATTTTAGGGGAAGTAATTTTTTTGTGTGTGAAAACTAATAGATAAATAAGATTTTAAGTCATGATTTTATTTTTTCACCAGATCTTAATATTGAAGAGGCTGCAGATGTAGCTTTTGTTTTGAATTTGATTGTTTGCATTCTGTTGTAATGGAAAAACTGACTTATTAAATGGTTTTATATAGATTTTTAGAATTTTAGTGTTGGAGGGAACCTTAACTGATTTTCTTTCTTTATGTGTTTTTCGTTTGTTTGTTTTTAATTTTAGATGGACAACATGCCTTTATTTTGTTTGTTTATTTTTTATGTGGTGCTAAGGATTGAACCCAGTGCCTCACACATGCTAGGCAAGCGCTCTGTCACTGAGCTATAGCCCCAGGCCCCTGATTTTCTTCATAAGTTAACTGATCAATCTGATGTGCAGTGAGCTACTTGAAAGGTTATTGGTTAAGAAAGCCTGTCAGATTTTTCAAAATCTGAAAAATTCAGATTGGAGAATCTAAAATTATTTGTTAAGTAGCTAACCTAAAAATGGATAAGGAAGCCAGGAGTGGTGGCTACTAGGGAGACTAAGGTAGAAGGATAACAAATTTGAGGCCAGCCTGGGCAACTTAATGACACAGTGTCTCAAAAATAACATTTTAAAAGATTTGGGGCTATAACTTGGTGGTAGAGTGCTTTTCCTGGCATGCCTCAGGTCCCAAGTTCAATTCATAGTAATACGCACACAAGCGAAGCTTAAGGAAAGACATGTCATATATCATTCTGTTTTTCATGTCTGTTTAGCTTTTCTGGACACACATTCTTAACTGGTGAGGGTTTTGTTTTTGTTATTGAGATGGGATACAAATGGCTGTGTAGTTTCATGTGCCTGTGGGAAGAGGTTTGGACAGATAAGCAGGAAGAAAGGATGAGGAAAAAGAGGTATTATCGTGAAAAGGCTTATCATTCTGAAGTTTTGAATCATTCCCTTAGAGAAGTACAAATCAGAAACCCACGATTGCTAAGTGAAATCGCTGACATTCATCTTAAAACAGTATTTTACCTATTGTGGACACTTTGTAGGTGGTTCCATGTGTGTGCGTGAGAGTGTGTAGATGGTTCTGTGTGTGTGCGTGCGTGCCTGTGTGTTGTTTCAAAGTAATAAAAAGGTTATATAAAATCTATGCAGGGTGTCATGATAGCCATTAGATTCTGTCTTGTTATTCAGTTTTATAATGTTTGTCAAATTGCGCCAGATTTCTTTACTGATTTGGTAAAATTACAAGTAAAACTATAGAAATATTCTACATATTCTCCTTAATAATATTGAGTACCTTTGTTGAACTATAAGGAAAAAGTCTTTTTTAAAAAAATATTTATTTAGTTGTAGATGGACACACAGTATCTTTATGTGGTGCTGAGGATTGAACTCAGTGCCTCATATATGCAAGGCAAGCGCTTTACCACTGACCTACAGCCCCAGCCCCAAGAAGAAGGCTTTTTAAAAAATTATCAATAGATCTGAATTTCAAGTTTAAGGTATTTTTGAAATATTACTATGTGATTTCTGTTCACTTTTTAATTATTTTCTCCCCTGTACTTAGCCATTTCTCTCTGTTCTTCCTCCTGCGTATCTCCCAGCTGTCTTTGCTTCTGCATTATTTGCTACTATTAGAAATTTAAAAAGATATTACTCAGAGCTGTGTTAAGGGTTAACTGATTATGTCATTCACCTATCTTTATCCCTTTTCACAGCATAGCACACCTACAGATGAAGCTGTATAACTGCATTTTTCTTTGTGTCTGAAAACTGCTTTTTTTCTAGATCATTCTTCTTTCTCATATTAAAATATAAAAGATCCTGAACTAGATACTTAGTATCGACTTCAGTATTAAATAAGTTAATTCTATTTCCATGGCTTTTAAGAAGAATTAATAAGGAATAATAGCTGGTATCTATATAATGACATTAAGCCAGTGAGTCATTATTGGCTACCTATACATCTAAGTCTTCAAGATGCCTTTTTATAAAAAAAAAAAAAAACTATGTACTTAGTCTCTATTGCTAACTCCTCTTATTCTTAGTGTACCCTAAACATGGCTCTTTTTCCCCAGTATTTCTTATTGGTGCAAATTGTTGGATATAATGATGGTATTTGTTGTTATATATTTATACATGCACACAGTGTAACAGTATAATTTGGCCAATATCATTCCCTAGTATTTCCGGTTTTTATCTCTCTCTCTCCCCCTGGCATTACTTCTTCCTTTGATTTTCATGATCCTAACCATGGCTGTTACTCAGTGATGTTATTAGCCTTTTGATGTTTTTTTCACACCTTCTCCTCAATTTGGGGTGGGGAGTACCGGGGATTGAACTCAGGGGTAGTCAACCACTGAGGCACATCCCTAGCCCTATTTTGTATTTTATTTAGAGACAAAGTCTCTCAGAATTGCTTAGCACCTTGCTTTTGCTGAGACTGGCTTTGAACTCAGAGATCCTCCTTCCTTTGCCTCCTGAGCTACTGGGATTACAGGTGTGACACTGCTCCCAGCTCCTCAATATATATTATATATTTTTAAAGATGGACAACATCTTTATTTTTATTTATTTATTTTATGTGGTGCTGAGGATCAAACCCAGTGCCTCACATGTGCGAGGCAAGCACTCTACCACTGAGCTATAACCCCAGCTCCCTCAATATATTTTTTAATGTATTATTTTTGAGTTTAGTTATTACTGTTTCTTCTGACTTGTCATGTCAAACTTCTTTCACCCAAGTTATCTGACTCATCCATTTTGATCTATAACCAGTTATGACATTCTTCTATCCGTTTTTTTTAAAGCTACTAAATATGTCACACGATTTTTATTGCTAAAAATTAAAACATGTCAAATTGTAATTTGTTTTTTCTCAACAATTAAGAGGATTGTAGCTGTAGCTCAGTGGTAGAGCATCCTTGGGTTCAAACCCCAGTACTGCTGGGGGTGGGGGTGGTCTTAAAATTTTTTTATCTTTTTTGTTTTGTTTTAAGCAGTTTGCATTTTTTAAAAACTTGTTTTGGTAAATTTCAAACAAAATAAGTAGAATAGTTTTATAAATCCTCACAGATCCATTACCCATTACAGCATTTATCTCCTAACCAATCTTATTAGAGTGTATCTCTAAAAGACAAGGGATCTCAAAAATTATAACCTGAACAACAAAAAAGAAGACTAGTTTCTTGTCATCAAGTTTCTCTAGTCAGAGAGTCAGTGTTTCAGTTTCTCCAAATGCTTCATGCTTTCTTTTCTCATTTTTTCCCTAATGTATTAAATATATTTTAACCTTGTACAACCATTCCAGCATCCATCATTATAACTTTCTTGCAGTGTCTTTTGTGTGAGTTGATTTTTTGTAACAAAATATCTCAATTCCTTTTGTATTTCCTTTTGTGTAGACTATACTATGTGGTTACCACAGGGATTAGATTTACTGACCTAAAATCTTTGAACATTTTGAACAGATTTGAATTTATACGAGCTTAACTTCACTATCATACAAAAACTACTTTAATTTGCTCCATGCTCACTCCTTGGTTATTGTTGTTACAGAATTATCTTTATATATTATGTTCCCCCAAATAAAAACTAGTAATTCCTTCAGAAGAATAGTGGTTTTTAATGTAGTTGGAGAGCACTTGTCTAGTATGCAGGAAGCCCTGGATTTGATCCCAAGCACCACCAAAAGAAAAAAGGGTCCTTAAATTATGTAGAAAACAAAATGTGGAGTTATAAACCAAAGGTACAGTAATACTAGCTTTCATAATTGCCTGTGTATTTACCTTGAGATCATTATTTTTTCATACGGCTTTTGAGTTTCTGTCCTTTCATTTTACTTTGTAGGACTCTGTTGAGGGTTCCTTGCAAGGTACATCTAGTGGTATAAATTCCACTATTCACTGTTGATATGTGAGTGTCTTAATTTCTCCCTCACTTTTTTTTTTTTGTACCTGGGATTGAACCCAGGAGTCTCATATCCAGTCCTTTTTGTATTTTATTCAGAGATACTAGATACTTAGAGATAGGATCTTGCTGAGGCTGCCTTTGAACTCACCATCCTCCTGCCTCAGCCTCCCCAGCCACTTGGATTACAGGTGTGAGTCACCGCACCCATCTTCTTTCTCCCTCAGTTTTGAAAGATGGTTTTGCTAGAAGAGGGACAGTCTTTCTTTCACCACTTTGACTATATTGGCCCACTGCCTTCTAGCCTCCAAAGTTTCTTATGAAAATTTTGCTGATAATCTTACATCTGACAGATCTCTTCTCGCAATTTTCAAGATTCTTTCTCTAGTTTGAGTATAATATACCTTGGTGTGAATCTTATTTTTGCTTGTCCTATGATGTGGATTTTTTGAGTTTATCCTATTTTTAATTCTCTGAGCTCCTTGGATGTTTATATTTGTGTCTTTCAGTAAATTTGGGACTTTTCAGTCATTATTTCTTCAAATATTCTCTCTGTCCCTTTCTGATTTTCTTCTAAGACTGCCATAAATGGGCCACTTCATTGTACTCTTATCTTTTCTTTCTGTTCCTCAGACTCAATATATCATTAACATTGTTCTGTCTTCAAGTTTGCCTATTCTTTTTTCTGCCTGCTCAAGTCTGCCTTGGAGTTCCTCTAGTGAATTTTTCGTTTCATTTGTACTTTTGACCTCCAAATTTCTTTTCGGTTACTTTATTTCTTTCTCTTTATTGATAACTTGTTTTGTTCATACATCACTTTCTTGACTTTTTCCACATTAGTTGTTTCAAAGACTTTAATAGATTTGCCATCAGGTCTTTTTTAGGAGCAGTTTTTGTTTCTTTCAGATAAGCCACAATTTGTTGAAAACTGGACATTAACTCTTGCATGGTAACTCTAGAAATCAGATTCTGCCCCTTCTTCAGGGTTTGCTGTGCTTTTGTTTGGATTTTACTATCACAAAAATCTCTGTGAAGGATCAGCCTAAGACGTAAATTAATGGTCTTCTCAGGTTTTTTTGGAGAGCCTGTATCTTTCTCTGGGCATGCATAGTCAATTTGTCAATGTATGCAATTGCTCTCAAACATTCCAGTCTTTAAGTCTGGCTTCTAAAGGGGAATCAGAAAAATGAAGATGAAGAAAAGGGCAATGACCCTTTAAATCTCTGTAAGTCACTTGGTATGGCAGGGGCTTGAAGCAGTTAAAGGTGTAAAAGTGTATCTTTTTATACCTCATTTCTCTGATTAGAAGCTGTGGTCAGAGAACAGATCCTTGATGTTTAGTTCAGTATCCTTTTTGTGCACCCTGGCTCCTCCTGCAAGCTATGTGCAGGGCTACCTCCACAGGTCTGAAAGTAGGCAAATGGTAGCTGCTACTGTGCTGAAATTGACCAAAATCAGCCACCATTTACCATCCAAGTCTTCCCTTGGAAGTTGAAAGCTTCCAGTATACTTCCAGAATTTCAAATAATTACATCAGAAGGATCTGCCAGTGCAACACCTAGGAGAGAAATAGGTTACTGGGGTGGATTCCTGTTCCACCAGAACCCTCTCTGTTTCTTTGTTTGTTTGTTTTAAGTTAGGATCCACATGAGCTCTTTGGCAGTTTTTTTTTAAATTTATTTTTTAATTATAGGTAGACATAATATCTTTATTTTATGTGGTGCTGAGGATTGAACCTAGTGCCTCACATGCTAGGTGAGTGTTCTACCTCTGAGCTACAACCCCAGCCTGGCTTTATTATCTGGCTCATCAGGATGTTCCAGGCTTTTTTTGTACATTTCCTCTAGAATCAAATATTTCTCTAGTTCTATTTTGTGAGAAATGGCATCCAGAATCTTAAGCACTACGCTTTGCTACTGAATTAAACATTGCCATTATTTTTTATGATGTCTTGATTTGTTGCAAAAAGTAGTGCCTGCCTTTCTTCCCCTCCCTTTTTTGGGGGGTTGCTTGAGATTCCTCTCACAGCTTACTCTTGTGGCTGAGTAAATTTGGTTGTTTGGATTGTTTTTTCTCCATGTATCTCATTTTGAATGTTTTCAATTGCTGTAGCTTTTCACTAATTTTATTTTTATTCTTATCTGCCATTTATCCCATTCAGTGTATTTTCATTTCTTACATTGTACTTTAATGAGTTATAGTAATTTTGGATATGTTTTCCTGCATTTTTGCTGCAATTCTAGAATAATGATAATAAGATAATGTAAAACATGTTTAAAGATAATGCCAAACATGTTGTTGACTGCTGGAAAGCTTGCATTCCTATAAATCTTGACCTTCATTCTTGGGTGCACAGTGCTTGATTTAGAGCTAAACATTCCTCTTTACTGAGTCAGGACCTTCCTGAATACTCTACCCAATGCCCTGGGACAGTTCTCTCTCTCTCTCTCTTTTTTTTTTTTTTTTTTTCTTTTCTAATATTTTTTAGTTGTAGGTGGACACAAGGCCTTTATTCTTTTTTATTTTTCCTCTCTGCCTCTGTTAGTTTCCTCACATACATGCACTTGTTAGTACTCTGCACAATACTTGAAGGGAACCCTCTGTAAATTCCCAAGTTCTCGGGGCTGGGGATGTGGCTCAAGCGGTAGCGCGCTCGCCTGGCATGCGTGCGGCCCAGGTTCAATCCCCAGCACCACATACAAATAAAGATGATGTGTCCGCCAATAACTAAAAAATAAATATTAAAAAAAAAATTCCCAAGTTCTCTTCTATAGCTTTCTCCTCTTTGATGCCTTGTATAGCTTCCTTGTCTCCCCAGACTTTCAGCTCGATCTACTCAACTCATAGGGTGACTAGAAAGTGTCAAGGCAGTATAGTGGGGGCAATCTTAGAATTTAACTCATTTGTTTCCTTCTTTCAGGGATTGTTGCTCTTGTTCCCCAGTGTCCACAGAGTTTTTTTTATATTTTGTCTTTTTTTTTTTTTTGGTTCATTACAGTAGCTTGAGATGTGATCCTGTTGTTTTGATTTGTCATGTCCCATTAACCATCCTTTCGTGTCATTAACCTTTTTTTTTTCTTATTTGGTTAAGAATTTAGGCTAGTTATTAGTTTGTTTCTTAATTCAGATTTGTCTGATTATTAGTTCAGTTAATCAATTTTGTTAAGTATGATAGATAATGTCTTATTCTCAAGTGTATTGTATCAGAGGGCAAACAGTGCAAATTTGTGTTTATCATTGGTAGTGCTAAGTTTGATTATCTCTTTGAATTCACTGTTGTAAAAAAAAATACCTTGTTCCTTTTATAATTAATCTGTGAAGTGGTATTTTGATACTGTGATAATCATTTTCCCAATAGTCTTTTACATAGTAGTTTCATTGATTTTTACCTGAACCTATTATTATTATAGTGATTATAAAAATGATGATTTTTCTGTTTCCATCATATTTTGTATATTTATCATTTGACTGTCTTTAAAGAAGACATTTCCTTTCTGCCCCTCTCACACTAAAATAACATTAGAGTATGTACTCTTTTGTGGGAGGGGCAGGCAGTCCTGGGGATTGAACTAGGTGCTCTACCACTGAACTCTACATCCTTTTTTTGTTGTTTAGTTGTAGATGTACACAATACCTTTATTTTACTTATTTACTTTTATGTGGTGCTAAGGATCGAGCCCAGTGCCCCACCCGTGGTAGGCAAGCACTCTACCACTTAGCCACAACTGCAGCTCACATCTTTTTATCTTAATTGTAAGTCAGATTCTCGCAGAGTTGCCCAGGCTGGTCTTAAATTTGTGATCCTCCTGACTCAGCCTCCCAGTTTTTTGGGACTACTATAGGCTTATGCCACTGCACCTGGCTATTTTTAGCTAGTCTGTTACTCATAACTTTACTCTTTAAAATAGTCATCTCTTTGGCAACTGCATTCTCTTCAAAATATTTCCCTTTTTTTTTTAATTCCCTTGTTTGGCACAGCAAGGTGTCCTAAGCTTATCCTGTATTTTTCCTGTCCCGTAGCCTTGCATCTAGCCATTTTTCTAATCAGTCCAGGCTTTCTTTTAGTGGCAAATATTATTTAAAACAAAAATCTGGGCTGGGGTTGTAGCTTAGTGGTGAAGTGTTTGCCTTATACACATGAGATGCTGGGTTCAATCCTCAGCACTATATAAAAATAAATAAAATAAAGGTATTTTATCCATCTACAGTTTTTAAAAAATAAAGGCATTGTGTCCTTCTACAACTAAAAAAAAATTTTTTTTAATACCTGGACAGTGGGTTATTACTATGTTGTGTTTATGTCTTGACTATTTAATGTATGTTGAAACTTATGAGGATAGAAGACATCAACATAAGCCGAGTGCAGTGGCACACACCTGTAATCCCAGTGGCTCAGGAGGATCACAAGTTTGAAGTCAGCCTGGGCAACTTAGAAAGACCCTGTCCTGAAATAAAACAGGTTGGGGTTGTGGCTCAGTGGTTTAGTGCCCCTAGGTTCAACCCCTAGTACCCCTCACCCACCAAAAAAAAAAAAAGATGACAACTGAAACTGTCAAAATCTCTGTGATGCCATGCACACTCAAAAGAGTATTCCTGCTCTGTGGTGTGATAAGAATGTTTGAATATAAAGAGTACACATGGTGGCACTAGGATGAAGGTTAGTTTATAAACTTTAAAGCATAAATCAAGTCAGTTTTCTATTTTTTTAAAAAAATATCGAGGGCTAAAGATCTATAGCTCAATGGAAGTGCTTGCCTGCACTGGGTTCAATCCCCAGCATTGTAAAAAAAGAAAAAGAAAAAAAGGTTGACTTTTTTTTTCTAGTTTTGATATCTTATAATGCCTTGGAATCATTCAGGTTTTGTTTGTTTTACTTTGAGACTCTGATAGTAGGAACTATTAACCCTCTATGTTAGGGAAAAAACTGCTTTGCCTAAATCTCCTCAATAGCTTTAGCTTAGTGCTTGCGCTATGTGTGTGGGTTTTATTTCTTTTTACCACTGAGTTTATTAATATGTATAGTTTTTATCAAGAAACTAGCTCTTTCTCTTTTCATGGATTTTTTTTAGCAGTAGACCTTGGAATTTCAGAATATTGACAATCAAGCTCTATAACTTTTTGTATCAAAAGAAAACAATATGTAACATTTTCATTGTGGTGGAATCTACATCTTTTGTTTTGCTCTTTTCTTTTGTGCCTCCTTTTTATTCCTTAATGAACTCCTAGATATCTGCATGGTGTTTGAAGTTTTGGGACATCATCTGCTCAAGTGGATCATCAAGTCCAATTATCAGGGGCTTCCACTGCCTTGTGTCAAAAAAATCATTCAGCAAGTATGTCTCTTTCTCTTTGCTATGTGGTCTATTTTAAAAATCAGGGTTTTTTTTTTTTTGTTTTTGTTTTTTTTGAAGTTTAAAAACAAAAAGTTTATTTTCTACCTATTGGGTACATTGTACTACAATACACAGGTAACAATGTATCCTTCAGTTTGCCCTATAATTAGCCTTGTTAATGAAAAATATTAAGAGCAAATGATATATAATACTGTTTCTAAAAGTTAAACTTTTTTAAAACAAGAGGTTACATCATTAGGGAAAGTACGAGGACTCCTTTGTAATAATAATGATCTTCTAACTTATTGGCTACATAAAATTAGGTTTGAAATACCACATTTTGTTAAGACAACTCCATGTTTATACAGAAATTTAAACTATCAGTACCTTTGGTTGGATATAAATTGCAAATATTTATATAGAATATTTTATATGAAGATGTTAACAAAAGATAGCTATTTCATTGATTACTTTTCTAGGACTGGGAATTGAGTAACTTTGGTTAAAATTTACCCCAATGTACATTATATAATGTCTTGTTAGTTGGTAAAGCCAATGTTAAAAAATGAGTATTATTATTTGCACATTTTATTCTCTTAAATATAACTTCTTACTACTCTGCTTTCCCACAATATTTGGGAAGATATGTGAAGAATAATCCATTTAGGTAAAAATAACTCCCCCAAAATAGTTATTGTCAAAATCAGGGTTTTTTAATTGCTAAAATTAAGTTGTTTTTTTTTTTCCAGCCCGTGGGGTGTATTGTGTCTATCCTGTTTGTAATTATTGAAAATATCTAAATCTCCTTTACCTACATTTAAACAGTTAAAGGGTATGCTGAATATTTGTTGTCAGTCTTTATTTATTTATTTATTTTTTTTATCAAGAGAAAAATATATACAATTGATTTATTCTGTAAGATAAAAATACATCATGCCATATACATGACAGGTGAGGCCCGCAGCACTGGCGCGCACAGCTCAGCCCATGCGACTGTGCACAGACGTCATCCTCCACGCTGTGAAGTGTCAGTACCAGAACCTGAGGTACACAGCAAGAAGCTACCTGGGTCAAAATGCTGATTAAGGTTCTACAAGCAAACACAAAACAGTGTGTGTTTTTATTAAAGAAATGTAAACAGTTCATACAAACACATTTTAAAATTACATCTTCGAAAAACCCTATTGCCGGAGTCCTGCAGATGCGAGCATGATCATCTCTCTTTTTTTTTCCTTTTTCAAATTTTTGTGTTAAATAGAAAGCTAAAGTTAGGTTAAGTTCCTGCTACATGATTCTATTATGTGTACATGATTCTCTGTTGTTGTCAGTCTTTATAATGTACCTAATTAAAGATTATGTCCAAATAGAATTAGCTTTATAAAACTTGGAAGTCTAGACCAATCTTCTATATTGTGTTTACAAATTTGCTGTATTCTCATTCAGGTGTTACAGGGTCTGGATTATTTACATACAAAGTGCCGAATCATCCACACTGACATTAAACCGGAAAACATCTTGTTGTCAGTGAATGAGCAGTACATTCGGAGGCTGGCCGCAGAAGCAACGGAATGGCAGCGATCTGGAGCTCCTCCACCTTCAGGATCTGCAGGTATATTGGGCAAAGAGGGGCTTTGCTCTCATTGGAAGTTTAGATAAATTTCTACCATTGTTTATTGCCAAGGTGTTAATAAGACACTGTTTGATCATTTAACTGTAAAATATTTAAGAAAATAGATCAACCTTCAGGAGACTTTTTTCTCATTATTCCTCTGAGATTCTTACAGACATGTTATATATTAAAATAGCTAATTTGTATTGTTGTATAAAGGTGTTATTTCATGGCCATTTTTGCTGTGCTACTGCTTACCATGATCCTACATGATCACTTGTGGGTTAGTTATCTGCAGAGGAACAAGATAACATTAAGAACTTGGGCGGGGTGGTTTGGTAGAGGGGTGGTACCGGGAATTAAATTCAGGGGTGCTTGACCTCCGAGCCACATCCCCAGCCCTATTTTGTATTTTATTTAGAGACAAGGTCTCAGTTGCTTAGCACCTCACCTTTGCTGAACTGGCTTTGAATTTGTAATCCTCCTGCCTCAGCCTCCCGGGCCACTGGGATTACAGGTGTGCACCATTGCACCCAGCTAAGAGCTTGGGTTTACACACTAGGATGAGACTTTGATCTTAGCTTCACCATTGACTGGGAGGCTTTGGCTGGCTGACTTGATTTAAAGAGTTACCATGATTAAATTTCACATTGATACAGTTATGAGCATGCCACATAATAGTATATGTTGAATAAATTATGGTTGTGAACATTTTTTTCCATTTTAGTAGCTCGGTCATATTTGAGGAACTTTCTTGATATGCAGGTTCAAACAACAGTTATCATAAAGTTTCTTTAAAGGAAGAGCAAAAAAGAAGGAAACAAGAAGTTGAAACAAGAGTTTAGTTTTACACAGTGAACAAGTTCTAGAGTTCTTTTGTACAACAATGTGGGTATAGTGAGCACTACTGAACTGTATATTTAAAAATGATTGAGGATACATTTTTCATTGTGTGTTTTTTACCGTGTTTATAAATGTTTTTTAAAGGAAAGACTAAATATCCTACCTAAATTAAACTGTTATTTATAATATATTCTATAGCAAATTACTATAGTTCTTGGTGTCACCTAGGCCCCCCTGCCCCACTCTTAAAATTGACAAGTTCCAAGGGGGAAGAATTTGGAGGTGGAAGTGCAGGTTGGGGATGAGGTGCTTGTTGCTTGTTACTTTCTATTTTAAATAGTGTGTGGGAATGGGAAAATTGATTATTTTAGCAGCATTAATAGTGGAAACCAGAAATTAGGACTTGGCCCTTTGCGTGTATTAATGCTACCTGGGGAAGGATTCATTTTAACTTTTTTAAGGTTTGGCAACTTTTGTATGCATTATTTGTTTTCTTTAAAAATAATGATAATGTGGTTTCTACTGAAGTCCTTAAAAACAATAGGCTGTTCAAGAAAAACTTTTCATTTTGGTTGGGTATCTTGCCTGCTAAATACTACTAGAATTCTTATTTGGTTTTCTTTTCTTTTCAGTCAGTACTGCTCCCCAACCTAAACCAGTAAGTATAAGGGGTTTCTATATTTAATTCTGATCAATGGGCTGTAGGCATGCATTCTTCTCTTATGGATAGTCTCTGTTTAAACAGAGTTTGGAAACCAAGGGAGAACATATTCCTGCGCTTCTGTAATTTTCTTCAGCAAATTCCCATGCATCTTCAGCAAATCTGTACTGGTGATGCTTCTGTAAATTTGAGTGTCCGAGAGTAAACTAGCCCCACAGACCACTCAAAAGACCAAGATTTGTTGTTAATTTTATTCTCATTTGGTTTCGTAAGAATATCTGCTGGTGGTTTTCTTTTCTTTCTTTTTTTTTTTTTTTTTGGTCCAAGGATTGAGCTCAGGGGTGCTTAACCACTAAATGACATCTGCAGCCCTTTTTATATTTTATTTAGAAATAGGGTCTCACTAAGTTGCTGAGGCTGGCTTTGAATTCGAAATCCTCTTGCCTCAGCCTCCCGAGCTGCTGAGATTACAGACTTGCACCACCACTCCTAACTGCAGCTTTTAAGTTATTGGAAAATCTTAGGGAAAGAATGAAATATAATTAGGAAGTATTTAAAGTTTCTCCAACTAGGGATAATGGATTAGCCACCTGAAGGCTTTATCTGTTTGTAATCTCCGCCCAGGCTGACAAAATGTCAAAGAATAAGAAGAAGAAATTGAAGAAGAAGCAGAAGCGCCAGGCAGAATTACTAGAGAAGCGAATGCAGGAAATTGAGGAAATGGAGAAAGAGTCGGGCCCTGGGCAAAAAAGACCTAACAAGCAAGAAGATTCAGAGAGTCCTGTTGAAAGACCCTTGAAAGAGAACCCATCTAATAAAATGACCCAAGAAAAACTTGGTATAAATAGAGCATCACAAAAATTACTTTATGGCACAATTTAACATTAATATATCATTGTTATATAATATAGTGGTTTCATATATAAGTACATCTCTGGGAGTATCCTTGTAAGGATTTAGATCTTTTCATAAACGTTAGGCAGGTGACATACAAATGTAATTTCTAATTTTTCTCAGGAATTAGAGCATAAACTTTGTTTAGTCATTGGGTAAGGATAAAAAGATCTTTGCTCTTCCATAAATAGGTTTTAGATATTTAATCATGTTTTTATGTCACTCAGTATAAGTTCTAGAAATGTTTAATCTTGTGAGAAATTGTTGTTTCACTCACATACATACACATGCGTCCTGTTTTGTTTGTTTGTTCCTTAGAAGAGTCAAGTTCCATTGGCCAGGATCAGACACTTATGGAACCTGGTGTAGAGGGTGGTGCAGCAGAAATTAATTGCAATGGAATAATTGAAATCATAAATTATACTGAGAACAGTAATAAAGAAACATTGAGGCTTAAAGAGGATCTGCATAATGCTAATGACTGTGGTGTCCAAAATTTGAAGCAGGAACCTAGTCTCCTAAGCTCCCAAAATGGAGACAGCAGCACAAATGAAGAAACAGACTCTTGTACACCTGTAACTTCTGAGGTGTCAGATACCATGGTGTGCCAGTCTTCCTCTAATGTAGACCAGTCATTTGGTGAACAGGACATCAGCCAACTTCAAGAAAGCATTCGGGCGGAGATACCTTGTGAAGATGAGCAAGAGCAGGAACATAATGGACCACTGGACAATAAAGGTATCCATGCAGATACACCAACACTTCTCCCCTGCGCAACACATTCATGATTTCTAGACTAAAAAGTACCATTGTTTTTGTAACTACAGTTTTACAGCAGGTGTCCAAGTTCCTTTTAATATGTAAAGCAATAGCTAACTTTGAATTTTATTGATTGTGTATGGGCTTCAGAATATTTCACTTGGTGCTCTGATCACAGAGGTTTTAATTCTAGAAATAGAAGTTATTGCTGTGTTCTTTTTGTCTTAGAAAACTTATTATAGGTTGCCAGTTGAGGGCCTGTTTAACTCTTACCTTGGAGAGAATTATTAGAGCCCTTTGGGTTTTTTTTTGTTCATTAAATAGTTTTATTGACAGTGCCTGTTGTCTGTAGGAAAATCCACTGCTGGAAATTTCCTCGTTAATCCCCTTGAGCCAAAAAATGCAGAAAAACTCAAAGTGAAGATTGCTGATCTTGGAAACGCCTGTTGGGTGGTAAGTTAAACTTGTCTTTGTGCTATGTTTTGAAGTGACAAATGTAGTTTCACTTTTTTTTAAAACCTTTTTTTTGGAAAGTTCAGATATATCTATGAAAATAGGAAAAATGATAAAATAATGAACAATCCACCCCCAACCTCCACCTGTTCACCCATCACCCAGATTCAGTAAGATGAACTCCTGGGCAATCTTGTATTATCACTATTATTCTCTTTTCATACTTTTAATGGCTGTGTTCATAACCTCCCTCCACCCAACTTCTTTTTTCAAAACTGCAATCTAACTTAAAAATTGTGATCTTTTAATTCACTCAATATACTTTTTATATTAAATCAGATGGTTACATAGTATTCCCTATGTCTTTAAGCATTTTTGACAGCTCTTTGTGATTGATACTCTTTTTGCATGAATCTGTTTATAGTTATCTTTAGGACATGTCCTAAAGGTAGAATTGCTAAGTCAAAAGTTAGGTGATTTTTTTTTTTTTTTTTTTTTTTAAGGCTTTTAGATATATAGTGCCATATTACTTACAGAATGGTTTGCATGTAAATGAAGACTACTCAAAAGAAAAAAGAGGAAATGATCCAGAATCCAAGAGGATCCCATTTCCAGTCTTTATTCTAGAATATTGTTAAAACATTTTAGAGTTATTTGGTTCTCTTGTTTCATTTGTTCTGTGTAGGGTGCTTAGTGGGACACGTTCTACCACTGAGTTATATCCCTAGCCATTTTTTATTTGGGGACAGGTTCTTGCTAAGTTGCCCAAACTGGCTTAGAACTTGCAATCCTCCTGCCTTAGCCTCCCCAGTCAATAGGATTGCTGGAATTATAGGTGTGCACCAGCTTAATTTTCTCATTTTTAAAAATAACATCCTGTTCTTATTTTAATATTATTTGAATTTTTTTCCTTTATATAGGTGAAACTAAGCTTCTGTTTTCTTGTTATTCATTTAATTTTTAATTATGAAAATTTTCAAACATAGACAGAAATAAAATAGAATAATGAACACTCAGGCCAATCATTTTTCTTCTGTATCTCAACCTTGACCAGATTATTTTGAAGTATAGTCCTATATATATATTTTCATTCATACATGACTTATTGAAAGGTGGGGTTTTTTAATATCTCAAATAATGTATCAAACCCCGGGCCTTATGCACATGAAGGGATCACTCTACTCTGTACCTGACCCACATTTCCAGCCCTTTTTGGTTTTTGAGACAGGGTCTTAATAAGTTGCTCCGCCTAGCCCTGAACTTGTCTCCTCCTGCCCCAAACTTCCGAGTAGCTAGCATTACAGACATGTGCCATTGTGCCCAGCCATATTTGATGTTATTTTGAGGGATTAAAGGTGTACAGGGGAAGGAAGAATTCTTTATAGGTGGTATAAGTGGTTATAAATGTCTTAAAACCTACAACTTTGAGTTGTTGTTGGTTTTTTTTTAAATACCTTTTCATTTATTTATTTATATGTGGTGTTGAGGATCAAACCCAGGGCCTCGCACTTGCTAGGCCAGTGCTCTACTGCTGAGCCACAACCCCAGCCCAAATTTTAGTTTTCATAATGAAAACATAGCTAAGACAGTTTGAGTTGAATCTGAGTTTCATTTGTTGAAGTAGTCTGTTAATTCTAGACAAATGAGCAACATAATTTTTATTTGGAATAACAATTTTTCATTTCTTATAAAGCTATTATTATTTCCTAAATCTGTTTATCTATATTAAATTTATTGTCATCTGTTACAAAAATAATTTGGAATAGCATGTGGTAAGGCTAAGGATTGTTTGGGGGTAATAGCTTCAAAGTGATACTTGAAAAGTTAGCTAAATGGAAACTTTGGGGAAAAACTTAAGAGAATTTATTTTCATCTTCATTATTAAGTAATCCTGACTTGTTGCTTTTTAGAATAAATGAATTTTAAAATACTGTTTCCTTTCTATTTGCTCAGCACAAACATTTTACTGAAGACATTCAAACAAGGCAATATCGCTCCCTGGAAGTTCTGATAGGATCTGGCTATAATACTCCTGCTGATATTTGGAGCACAGCATGCATGGTAATGTTTTGTATCCTTTGACCTTGTTTCATACCTTGCCCTGTTTCAGCAGACCAGCAAATTAACAAACAGAAAAAGAACTTATCATAGGTGACTTGTCATGGGAATTATAAATCCTGTGTCTGGAGGGTCTAAATTAAAAACAACTGCTGTGAGGTTGATTTGGATTAAGTTACAAGTACCCTCACCCTTATAGCATTGATCTGTTTGCAGGTAAGGCACACCTGGAAACTATTTTATTCTTTACAACTCAGCAACTCCTCAGACATTTTTTTCATCTTTGGAACTCAAAATATGAAGCCAAATCAGACATAGATTCATAAGTTGCTTCTTTGTCCCTAACAAGCAACTACTCAAGTAGTCAGATTTAATTGATATTAAAAATTTCCCACAAATAGACTTACATTAAAAGGTATTTTATCATTTCCTGAAATGGAGTATACTCTTTGAGATCTTTTATCACTGTTTGTCCTGTTTATTTATTTACTTCTCTTCCACAAAGTTATAAACCCCATGCTGGAGAGAATAATGTTGGTTATATGTGGCTGGCATGTTTTCTGTGGGTACTTGCAGTACAGTTCTGATGATAACTACCTGGAGTTCTATCTAGGGGTCTGCCATACCATAAACTTAGGTAAGGTCCAGGAGGCCCATTTGGGAATTCCAAAGCTAAAGGTCCCCTTCCAGGAAACTAGGACAAAGACCAATGTATTTTATATCACAGGGCTTAATATTTGTAAACCATCAAATGAATGAACAGAAACATACTAAACTCACTTCAGGAAGAATAGATTGGAAGCTTCAACTTCTTTCAAGTCAGATTACTTTCATCCATGAAAAACTTGGTTTTCAAAAATAGTAAAAGTTGGGGCTAGGGCTGTTCATGCTTGCTTAGCATGCGTGAGGCACTGGGTTCGATCCTCAGCACCACATAAAAATAAATAAAGCCATTCTGTCCTTCTACAACTACAAAAAAATTAAAAAAAAAAAAAAAAAAAAGTAGTAAAAGTTGCCAGGTGTGATATGTACACTTTTAATTCCAGCAACTCAGGAGGCTAAGGCAGGAGGATTGCAATTTGAGGCCAGCCTCAATAACTTAGGAAGCTCCTATCTCAAAAATAAATTTTAAAAGTCTGGGTGTGTAGCTCAGGTAAAACACCCCTGGGTTCAGTCCCCAATACCCAAAATGGTAGAGTTAAAACCATTAAAATGTTAAAAAGAAGAAGTAATAGTAGTAATAGTAGTAGTAGTAAGGTAAAGGATGCACTTAAATGCTACAATTTTCTTGACCAAGGGATGGAAAGCACTTACGAATCAATATCATGAAAACTTTAGCCCTACTTTTTTTTTTTCCTAAATTTCTCTCATTCTGCCAATAAATATAGGAAATGTTGCTTTAAATTTGTCATATACTAAATAAATATAAATCTCATAATTTCAGAAGTGCTGGAAAGATGGATCATCCTGCATCAAATGCAATTAGTTGATAGAAAGGTTCTGACCCTTTCTGAGAGGCTAAGAAACAAGTCCAGAAGTTGCCTTCCACATTATTGATGGAGATAAAGTTAGAAGAGCAGTTATATAAAGGGTCAGGACAAAATATCTGTGAAAAACATTAAGAATTAACAATCTCTCAGGGCATAGAGGAAGATCACTGGCAGGATGAAATTCTTCCTTGCTGTCTTTTGAACATCCTTTCCCCTTCAGCTATGGGGAAATAAGTTTATAGTTTCCGGTTAGATCTTTTCTTGTAGCTTTTTTTTTTTTATTGTTGTTATTTTTGTTTTTTGTTTTGTCTTGTTTTTCAAATCTTTTTATCTCTGAAATTCGGGACAGAATTGGTGGGAAACTGAATGTGCCTATATATAGTAAGGAAAATTGCGTATTTTTATCTGTCCCTGAAGTGACATCTGACTAACTAGTGGTATGTTTAGGGGGGGAAAAACTAGAGAATATAACTTTATTTCCCCTAGATGTTTTATTAAGCAAGGGAATGGCTCTCGGAAATGGAAAAAGGGTTTCATCCTATTTTATGTTTTGAACTCTAAGGCTGCTAAAAGTCCCTAAGCTATCAGAATCCAAAAGTGATGTATTTGACCCATAAAGTTTTTCCTGTCATCCCCATTCCTAACCTGAGCTGCCTGAATGAAAATGCAAAAAAATGACCACATTGCTCAATAGCTATTTATATTTCACCAATGATGGTCACCTTTATTCAGCAGCAATAAGTCATGGTGGTAGGGATAGAATACCATTTTAATGAGTAATATTTTGAGTTATTTTCATGTAATTTCATATCTTATACAGTGAAGCCATGGGTTTGCTATTTCTGTTGTTACTATTGCTGCCATTGCCAGTTTTCTGATAAACAGATATTATAACATGTTTAAAAAATAGAATACCTTGGGGCTGAGGTTGCATGCAGTTCAGTGGTTGAGCACTTGTCTTGCATGCATGAGGCATTGGGTTGAATCCTCAGCACTACATACATACATACATACATACATACATACATACATAAAGATATTGTGTCCATCTACAACTAAAATATATATTTAAAAAAAAAAAAAATAGAATATCTCAACTGGGCGTAGTGGCACACACTTGTAATCCCAGCAGCTCGGGAGGCTGAGACAGGAGAATCACAAGTTCAAAGCCAGCCTAATAATCTAAGATGGTAAACAACTCAGTGAGACCCTGTCTTTAAATAAAATTCAAAATTGGGCTAGGGATGTGGCTTAGTGGTCGAGTGCCCCTGAGTTCAATCCCTAGTGCCAAAAAAAAAAAGAAATCTTGTTCTTGCTTCTCTCACAGGTAGAGAGAAGATCTTTGTAGCTAATGTAAGCAGGGGTATTTGGATTCCCAGACATTGCTATCAGTGAAGGGGAAGAACATGGCATTTTTTAATAGGGAAGGAAGCCAGGGGAATTGAGAGAAGCAAACATTTGCTCTCCAAGGATGATAGAGTCGTAGTTGGTTGATTATAGGTCCTGCATTTTCATTGTAGATCCTGTAAATAGCACACAAGTAAGAAGGAGGGCCCTAGATCCCTGGGGCAAGGTAGTCTTCTGTTTTGATCATGCATAGCTTCAACAAGTCAGTTCACATAGTTGTATGTTAGAATATTTATTTTAGGAATACTTTGATTACCAAAGTTATCAAAAGTTTAATTCCAAATCTATAGCAGTATCTTATCCTTATTGTTTAGTTTTTGTTTGTACCAATTAATGTCAGACTTAAGTCTATTGACTTTCACTACTAAGAGGAGAAAAAAAAAAAGACTTGGTTCTTGGCCTTTTTCTTTTTTCCTGGGAGATCCCATGGCATCTCCAGTCTCACTTACCTCTACATTTCATCTGGCTTTTTCTGTCTCTAACCATATCTTGGGCAACTCCATTTGAATATCTAATAAACAGCTCAAATTTAAATTTTTAGATCAAAAGGTTTGATCAAACCTCAAAAGGTTTGATCCACATATTCAGTTTTTGTAAATGACCCTTTGTTCACCCACTTAAAAAGCTCAAATCCAAAACTTTTAGGTTAATTCTTAATTCTTTTCTCCTTTTGCTCTGTACACCTAGTTCATCTGCAAGTTCTACCTCTAATACATATCCAGTACCAGTCACTTCTTACCTTTTCCATTAACCCATTATATCCCAAGTCATCATTGTTAAATACATAGACCACTACAGTGGCCTCTTCTTTATTAGCTTCTGTTTTTCTCTCTTTGAGGTACATTCTCTCATAATAGCCTGAGTGATCTTTTGGGGGGAGGCGGTACTGGGGATTGAACTCAGGGACCTTCAACCACTGAGCCACATCCCCAGCCCTATTTTGTATTTTATTTAGAGACAGCATCTCTAAATAAAACAGTGCCACACTGTTGCTGGGGCTGGCTTTGAACTCATGATTCTCCCATCTCAGCCTCCCATGGGATTACAGGTAATGTGCCACTGTGCCCAGTCTGAGTGATCTTCAGTATTAATCAAATCATGTTATTTTCCTGTTTTCAATTCTTGAATTGCATCTATTTTAGTCAATTTTTTTTTTCTTTAGTCACATTAAGCTCCCTCTTACCTCACTCTTTCTGCTTCTACCTATATAGGTCTTGGCTCAACATAACCTCCTGACCATTATGATCCAGTGGTCTGTGTTGTTTTAATTATTGTAACTATCAATATTTTTTTAAAGTTTTTAGTGTACAGTGTTTCTTTTTTAAGTGGAATTGTTCTCATGATTTATTTATCTATCTGTCTATTTATTTGTTGGTAGTTGTAGATGAACAGCATGCCTTTATTTTATTTGTTTATTTTTATGTGGTGCTAAGGATCAAACCCAGTGCCTCACACATGCTAGGCAAGCACTCTGCCACTCAACTACAGCCCCAGCCCCTCTCATGGATTTCCTTCTCAGATAGTTCACTGTTGTTGTTGTATAGAAATACTACTGATTTTTGTGTATTGATTTTATATCCTGTAATTTTACTGAATTTGAAGTCTTTAGGGATAGAGATACACACACACACACACACACACAATTTTAACTGTGGTTTCTCATATGTGGCCTTTATTCTCTTGAGTTACATTCCTCTTGTACCTAATTTGATGATACTTTTTTATCATGAATGGATGTCACATTTTTTTCTTCATCTAATTGGTTTTTGTCCTTTGTTCTATTAATGTGTTGATTCACATTTATTTGTCTTTGTTGAACCATCCATGCATCCCAGGGATATGGTGATGATCTTTGTTTGTTTTTTTTTTAGGTGTAGATGGACACATCACAATTTCTTTATTTTTATGTTGTGCTGAGGATCGAACCTGTTGAAGAATTTTGCATATACCAATTTTGCATATACCTATATGTTCCCCAAGGATATTGGTCTATAATTTTCTTTCTTGTAATGTCCCTGTTCTGGGTTTGGTATCAGGACAATGCTGGCCTCATAAAAGAAGTTTGAATATATTCCCTCTGCTTCAGTCTTTTTAGAAGAGTTTAAGGAAGACTAGTATTGTTTCTTTTAATGTTTTCTAGACTTCAGCAATAAAGCCATCAGGTTTTGGGCTTTTCTTTGATGAGAAAAACTCTTTTGTTACTGATTCATTGTCCTTACTTGTTACTGGTCTGTTTCAGGTTTTGTATTTCTTGATGATTCAGTCTTTGTAGGTTTTATGTATCTAAGAATTCACCCACTTCTGAGTTATCCAGTTTATTGGTATATAAATTATTCATAGTAGTCACTTATGACCCTTTGTATTTCTGTGGTATCAGTTGTTAAATGTTTCTTCTTTCCCTTGTTTTGAGCCTTCTCATTTTTAGGGGGGGGGGGGGGGTTGGCATTGAACCCAGGGCCTTGTGCATGCAAGGCAAGCACTCTACTAACTGAGTCCCCAGCCCAAGAGCCTTCTCTTTTTTCCCCTTAGTCTAGCTAAAGATTTGTCAATTTTATAAGCTATTTTTTTAAAGCCAGCTTTTAGTTTTGTTCATTTTTTATATTATTTTTTATAGTCTTTTTCATTTATTTCTGCTTTAGTGTTTATTATTTCCTTACCTCTGCTAACTTTGAGCATAATATTTTGTTCTTTTTCTAGCTTTCTGAGTAAATATATTATTATTTGAGATCTTATTTAATGTAGGCATTTATTGCTATAAACTTTTTCTTAGGACTGCTTTTGCTGTATGCCATAAGTTTTAGTATATATCATTTTTTTATTTTTAAATTTTATTTCTGTTTATTTTATCCTGGGCATTGAACTTTGGGCCTTTCAGCTGCTAAGTATGTAGTCAACCACTGAGCTATACCCCCAGACCTCTTTAAGCACTCTAAATAACATCATATCTATTTTTTTTTAACTTTAATTCCACTATATTTACTGTATGAGACTTGAGATTTTACAAAAGTACTGGTTTCAAAAATTTTTGTTTCTGTGCCAATTTTAGACTGTAACCCTTAGGTTATACAAGGTAGAACAGGTATCTGTTCTGTTGGTGTGACTTAGTTTTATAATGAACTGCTAAAACAAGTAATGCCTAACAAGACACCATTGCATTCCTGACATTATGGAGACAAGTAGTTGATTCCTAGAACTGTCTTGAAACTTGTAGTTAACCTCACTCAAATAATTTTGAGAAAGTCTGTCTTGAAATTGATACTGTCATGAAACTGATACTGGTGAACCATCAAGACCTAAATTGGGTCTAATTTGAGAATGTGAATAAATCCACCCCTCAGTCCTTTTTCTTTTTCTGGGGATTGAACCCATGGTTCCTCTAACACTACATCACCAGCCCCTTTTATTTTGAAATAGGGTCTCTGAGTTGCCCATGCTGACCTCAAACTTATGATCCTTCTGCCTCAGCTTCCCAAGTTGCTGGGATTACAGTACCCACCATATGTGCACCACCATACACCTGGCTTGCCCCTCAGTTGGGATTATCTTAGTACCATTGACTCAATCAAAATTGACCTATGTCTGCTGTTAGTTTATAACTGTACTTTTTAAGAAACTGCTATTGTGTTAGTTATTTTTTGAAAAATCCATTTGTAATCAGTGAAAAGTTCACGTAACCTCATTATTCAGATGTGCTGTCCTTCACGTACTGCTTGACATTCCAAAAGAATTCATCTCTTAAAAACCTCTCAATGTTTTCCAAAAGGTTTTCAGTTCACAGGAGATATGTGCCTTTCTTTTCCTACTTGTGAATGCTGACCTCTACTGGTTACATAAAACAGAGTGACTCCCTATACCCTTGACATTTTAATTTTTTTGAGTTTCCGTAGACCTAGAAATTGGAAACTCCATCTGGGACTATTTAGGGAGTATTTTCCACACAAAAGTTAAGAATAAACTTCTTATCAGTGACTAAAGAGTCATTGGTAGAAATATGTGAGTACTTGATTTCGATTTAGGGTACAGAATTCAGTTTCTAGCTATGTGAAATTATAATGTAAAAAACACCTGCTCTTATGAACAATTTAGTAACTTAGAATTACCTTAATATTCAGGTATGCCCTTTCCTAACCAAAAGTGAAACTCAGGAGGACTGAATTGCTGTTTTTTTTTTCCCCTGACACATAATAATTGAAGCAACAAATATGTATGTGTGTGTGTATATATAGAAACACACACTGTACCCCATAAAATGCACAATTATTAGGTGTCAATCGTGCATTTTTATGGGGTACAGTGTGTTGTTTCTATATACAGTGTATAATAATCAAATTTGAGTTACTGGCATATCCCTCACTTCATTTATAATTTCTTTGTGTTAAGAATATTCAGAGTGGTCTGGGGCTCAGTTGGTAGAGTGCTTGCCTTGCATGTACGAGGCCTTGGGTTCAATCTTCAGCACTACAAAAGAATATTTAGACTCATCTCCGATAGCTGTTTTGAAATGTACTATGTAACAATGTGTTATTGTTAGTTATAGTTACCCTACTGGGCAGTAGAATAGTAGAATTTGTCTTATATGTGACTTTGTACCTGAGACCTTCAAGATTCCCAACCTCCCTCATTCCCTGCTTGATTATTTTTTGTTTTTTCTTGTTTGGTTTTTTTTTTGTTGTTGTTGCTTATTTTTTCCCTGTGGAACATCAGTCCAAATAATTTTCTCCTTTTTTTTCCATTTTATTAAGATACAGGTGTGGAAGAAAAGTTCTTTAGGAGTAATTTTAAGACATTTTTTTAAAAATGGTCATCTATAGATTTTTTCCAAGAATAAAATTTCTTGAGTCAAATAGCAATAAGCATTTACCAAAAGCCCTCTTTGATGCTTTGTATGCTATCCTCTTTTTCTTAGGCCTTTGAACTGGCCACAGGTGACTATTTGTTTGAACCTCATTCAGGGGAAGAGTACACTCGAGATGAAGGTGAGTCCCCTAAGCCAAATTTGTCTGTGCATGGCAGTTTACTTTCCACATGTGGCTAATATCATTTGTTCACTCCAAAGAGCCCTAGTAATCTTGTTAGTGTGCCAAGTATGTATAAGTACCACAAAAGATAGAAATTTAAGAAATATTTCATATTAGATACCAGATATACTAGGTATTTTATAAAAGATACTAAAAAGCTGTAACAGATGGTTGGCATAAGGCCACAACTGGTAAAATGAAAACTTTATTTGACAAGTAGTTTTTTATTCAACATCCAATTACCTTTCTTTGTAGGTCTGTGACTTGTTCTTTACCCAGTTTAAATATACCTGTTCATAAACCTGTTCTCAGCTGTGCCTTCAACTTTATTTGGAAGTCAATGATCTTCATCTAGAAACACTACTTGACTACAGATACCATCCTATTTACACAAATTCTATGATACTTTTCACTTTTCTGAAATCTAAAGCTTTAATTTTTCTTTTTAAATGATATTCATGTTTAGAATGCCACTTAAAAACAAAACAAAATGATTGTAAATTTTTCAGTACCCTGTAAGGAAAGCCCCCACTTGTTTGCTTCATCCATGAGGCTATGGAAGCAGACATTGTACGAGTCTGATTTTTTTCCATTGTGGTGACATCCAAATAACTAGATGAGTTAATAAGCTGAGTGAAAAAATGGTTAGAAGTTGGGCACAGTGGCACACACCTATAATCCCAGTGGCTCAGGAAGCTAAGACAGGAGGATTGTGAGTTCAAAGCCAGCCCCAGCAGTTTAGTGAGGCCCCCATACAACTTAGCAAGACCCTGTCTCTAAGTAAAATATAATAAAAAGAGCTGGATATGTGACCTAGTGGCTAGTGCCCCTGGGTTCAATCTCTGGTACCAAAAAAAAAGGTGGTAGGGGTGGAGGGACTAGGGATATGGCTCAGTGGTGGAGCACTTACTAGCATGCCCTATACTCTGAGTTCAGTTCCCAGCACTAAAGAGAAAAAAATGATTAATGTTTTGCTTTGTTTTTATACTATTCAATTAATGTTTGTTTTGTTTGCAGGTTTAATGAGGGTTAGTTTAAGGGAGTACTTACTTAGCACAGCCCAGTGGGAAGAACATGTGCTTCACTGGCTATGCTTTCCTCCAGGTTTTGGGAAATCACATTTTATGTTCTATGAAACCAAGAATGTTCTCTGTTCCTCAGTATGGTCCCCTCAGGTTTTAATAAGTAGTGTTAGTACAGCTTGCTGATATTCCTAACAAAGCCCAATTAGGAAAAGATGTGTTAATTCCCATAGCCAGCTACCTGTTTTGATTGGTGTAGTTTGGATTCTTTCTTAAAATGTGTGTCCTTTGTAAGAAAATACTACAACAATTGCCCATGTACCCACTTGATTTTCTCCCCTGTTCTTTCTTTGTCTTTTTTTTTTTTTTTTCCTTCTCTGAGTTGTAAGTTTAGAGTTATACGTTAACAAAATGTTTTTAAAAAGCCTTATTATCTATTTCTAGGGGAGTAATTTTTTTTTCTCTTTACTTTCCTAGAGTCTTTATTAATACTAGTGTTTAGTACAGAGCACACATACTGGCTAACATCATATTGAGTAGTACCTTAAGTTATTAACCTGAAAAATTGAAATATGTATGTGAGAAAAATCTGATGAGAGAGAACCATCTTGCCTAAATATTTAGATTGTAACTTATTTCCTCCTCTACAAGTCAATACTGATAAATGTTAGGTCAAAGCCTTGCCTTTCTGTTCTATTCTACTGCAGTTTGCCCCATAAGAGCAGAAAAAAAAAAAAAAAAAACTTAATCCCGACTATGTATGTATAGTTTGTTAATAGTCATGCTATACTGGGGCCTAAAATAGAATATCCTATTATTATTACATTCCACAGACCTAACTCCTGGGATAATACTTGATATCAGTCAAAACTGCTCAAACGTTGTAGTGAATTGATCAATGTAAAGTCCTTTTTAAATGACACCAGTAGATCTTTTGTAGGAGAAAGAGATAAAAGTGTTTTTCTAGTTATGAGCCATTGGTCTATTAAATCTCTTCATATTCTTAGTTTCTGTCACTTGAAGAATGAGAACAGTAGGATAGCTGATTTTTTTTTTCCATTATGGTGACATCCAAATAACTAGATGAGTTAATTACTGGCTAGTACCAGCTTACCATCCCTGCTAGCAATCTGCCCACCTCCTGGCAGTGCTCACTCCAGGACATTAGTAGACTGCAGTCAAGTAGCTGTATTCTTTAAACTTTTGTGCTAATTTAAAAGTGATTTTGGGTGGGAGTGGGGGGAGAAAAGCTCTGGGTTAGATAAGACAAGATATGAGTTGTCATTGTAGTTTTAGCTCTTTTAGCTCTCAAACTTTAAGTAGGCCATTTAGTCTCTCTGAAGTTCCACCTTTAAAATGTGGCATTAACTTAGCCTGTTTTTTCAGGGTGACTATAAATACTCGAGTCATGTGAGGGCTTTGTCGTGAACATTCTTAGATAAGGTGATGTTTTAGTCCTTAAAGCCCAGAATAGTGTTACAAATAAATAACAGTTCTAAATACCTAAAGCAAATTGGCATTTTGTTTTAACCTTACCTGAAGAACCTACCTAAACCTAGATAGAGACAAACTAAAAAGTATAAAGTTATAGATAGTCTGTGAGATCCAGAATGAGACTTGCCAGCTATGATTAAGTAACCAGCCACCTGAAAAAATGCCTGGCCTTCCCAGTCTTGCCTTGAATATCATTGGTTTTACTTGTAGTTACTTTTAAACACGTAGTCCTTGAAAAAGCTATTCATAGAAAAAAATCTCTTTAACAACTTGTCCTTCATCCTGTTCTTCTTACCCTTCTATTTTAGACCACATTGCGCACATTATAGAGCTGATAGGCAGAATTCCAAGACGCTTTGCCCTCAGTGGGAAATATTCACAGGACTTCTTCAATCGCAGAGGTAGTATTGCTAAAATGAGTTTCCATCTAGGCCCCAGGGATACAACTTCAGGAAACAGAGCATTCACACCAAGACTGTTTTTAGTTACCACTCAGGTCCCACTGGAGTGGGTACCCAATGTTTTTATGATATTCTGGATTCTCCATTAGATGGATAGAGTCCACCTCTTCCCATTTAGGACAGAAAGCAAGCTGAAATGCTTTACAAAGAGGTGTGCATGCTACTCTTTCTGCCAGTGTATAGAGCTGCATTTGTTACTCCTGTTATGTATGTCTTTTTTTCCCCCCTCTTGAAATGTTTGAAACATACAGATCACATTGCATTGATCATAGAACTCCTGGGGAAGGTGCCTCGCAAGCTCATTGTGGCAGGAAAATATTCCAAGGAATTTTTCACCAAAAAAGGTAAAACAAATGTGTTTGTTCCCAGACATTAAGGGGGCAAAAGTACTTAAAAACGAAAAGGTAAGTACAGCTGGTTACATATTTCCACTATCCTACAAAATGGTTAGCCTACCTTGAATGCTAATCTGTGATTTAGCAGAGGGGTGAAATAGTCAAAAGGAGAGATAAAGCTGAGTATCCAATCCCAGCTTTTCCACTAGCTGATTTCTACTTAGGGAAGATAATAATTTATTCTTTCTGTTAAATTAGTTAATATATGATTACTTCTACTGCAGCACTACTGGGAAATGGACAAATTTTTGCTGGTGTTCTGTTTACAAACTGCCTCTACCAAAGGCCAAGTGGTTTGGTTTAAGCTTCTTAGGAGTCGGAACTACATCTCAGTCATCTTTGTATCCCAATGATGCCTAACACAATCACCCAGACACCTTGTGGGTTAGCCGTACAAACTGATTTAGTACTTTAGTTTCATAATTTGTTATTACATATTAATGAAAGAAACAGATAAGACTCTCACTTTAAACTTTTGACTTGATCATGTATCTCTTATGCATTCCTAATAAAACTGAAATATGAAAAGCTAATCTAGAAGGATCTAGAAAACTGTCTGGCCTGTTTTTCTACATCGTGTCGTGGTTCTCCTTTTCATCACAACTGCTACTCAAATGCTGAGAAAAATTATTTTTCTCAACCCTTGACAGGAAGCATTCTCAAAATCATCATTCTTTTTTTTTTTTTTTTTAATTTTTAATATTTATTTTTTAGTTTTCGGTGGACACAACATCTTTGTTTGTATGTGGTGCTGAGGATCGAACCTGGGACGCACGCATGCCAGGCAAGCGCGCTACCGCTTGAGCCACATCCCCAGCCCCTCATCATTCTTTCTTACACAACTTTTTGGGCATGAAAATGGGGAAATGCTTGTAAGGGTTCTTCCTTGTATGCAAAGTAAGATTAAGGTATGCAAATGTAATTGAACAGGCAACTCTCTGCCCACAGAAAAGACTCCAAGTAAGTGTCATATATGAAAAAGTGTTTAGTAGCACTTACTTTAATAAGTCATTAATAATTGACTATACTTTCTAAATTGTCAATTCAGCTGGGTGCATTGGTACATGCCTATAATCCCAGCTTCACAGGAGGCTAAAGTAGGAGGATCACTTGAACCCAGGATTTTGAGGCCAGCTTGGGTACCACATAGTAAGGCCTCCATCTCCCAAATAGAAAAATATCTTTTAAAAAATTGCCACTTCAAGGATGCATGTGTAGCTCATTGGTGAATGCTTGCCTATCACACACGAGGCCCAGGGTTTTATCTCCAGCATTGCAAAGAAAGTGTCACTTCAAAGAAGCAATTAATTAGATTGAAGTTTTAGTATGGTGCTGCTATATGTGAAATCTATGTCAGGTATGTTCTTTTAGTTTTGCTGCTTTTTATACATGTTGCCATGGTATTAGCTCCTTATTTTAAAATCACATTTGTTTTACATCAATATTTTCTAGACTTGTTTGTACTTTTTCTTAGCTCAAATTGGGTATAGTGGCACACATCCATCATGCCAGCTACTGAGGAGGCTGAGGCAGGAGGATCATGAGTTCAAGGCCAGCCTGGGTGACTTAGGGAGACCCTATCTCAAAATAAGAAAAATTAAAAAGAAGTAGGGGCGTGGCTTAGCGGTAGAGTACTTGCCTTAGCATGTTTGAGGCCCTCAGTCTGATTCCCAGTACTGCCAAAAGAAAGAGTATAAGCAAATTGTTCTTAATGTGTAGACCTGGATATATGAGTATACAGACATTTAGTGAATCACTAGTTTCTGTTGAGATGTATGCAGTTTGACTGGGACCAAAACAAACTTGAGGGAGAAAGCAAATCGTCTTAAATTTTTAGTACCTTATGAAAAATAGAAGCACTTCATTTCAAGATTAGAGAAGTGCTTTTTGAATGGAACATTAGATTCTGATTGCAAAATTTGATTCTTTGTAGACTACTTGGATTGGTTCCTGGATTGTCACATTGTCACTTGTCAATGTTGGTCAGTTTCTTTTGTACTGTCTTCACCACAGGTGACCTGAAACACATCACGAAGCTGAAACCCTGGGGCCTTTTTGAAGTTCTAGTGGAGAAGTATGAGTGGTCTCAGGAAGAGGCAGCTGGCTTCACAGATTTCTTACTGCCCATGTTGGAGCTCATCCCTGAGAAGAGAGCCACTGCTGCCGAGTGTCTCCGGCATCCTTGGCTCAACTCCTAAGTCCCTGCCCAGCACTGCAGCAGAGATCACCACACTGACCACCCCCCACCCACTCCCTTCCAAGCATTTCCCTCTTCTCTTTTCAGGGCAAAGCTCTTTCTTCAAGGGTTTCTAGATTTTTCTTCGTCTTTTTTTATTCTTTAATCCAACATGTTCATTTGGGTTTGCTCACTTGAACCTGTGGAGGTCCCCACAGCCATTCCGCATCCTAGGTGAATTTGGCCTTGGTAGGGCTCTGCCAAAGACTAATGGACTAAAAATGTGAAACAGCCTCTTGGCCTATACCTTTGCCTTTCCATTAGAGCATCCTTCAAATTATAATAACCCTTTTTAATATTTTTTATTATTTAGTTTTCAGTGGACACAACATCTTTGTTTGTATGTGGTGCTGAGGCTTGAACCCGGGCTGCACGCATGCCAGGCAAGCGCGCTACCACTTGAGCCACATCCCCAGCCTAATAACCCTTTTTAAAAAGAGCCTTTAAGATATATGAGCCCATCTCTTTATTCATGGACTCTACGAGTCAAATTTTCTAGTGAATATCCTATTGTCAGCATAAGGATGAGGAGGGAAAGGGTGTTCATTCTGTGTACAGCAGAGACATTAAACTTGCTGTATCTAGGCTGCATCATCTACCTGGATTGTTTCTGTTGTTTTCCATTTTATTTTTCCTGCGACTTTTAATCTACTACCTTTTTAAATGAGCTGTATAAACACCAAATTTGGGTACCATATTATCACGATTCAAAGCACTGTCATATTCCTTTCATCCTTTAATAACTCCAAGATCCTCAAATCTTCTGATTTTTAAATGTAAACAGAAATGGAACCATTGTGTTAACAATTTCTTGAAAACCTCAGATGTTCTGCAAGTAGCCCTTTCCTATGTGTCTTCTGTTACCCTAAGAGCAGAATTTACTTTGATTGGCAGTTAACATTTTTGGGTTTGGTTGGTGTGTTTGTTTTTTTTTTTTTTTTCTTTTAATTCCTATCTGGCACCTGACTCATTGTACTTGAGTTTATTGTTTCTAGAGTCAGGGTGACTCTAGAAACAAGATCTGAGTTTCAGAGCTTTCCCATTTAAAGAGAAAATGCCTTAGAGTTCTGATTCTTTACCAAATAGTTCTCTGCTTTTATTTATAGCTTTTTCTTTACCTTGTCCAAAGTTCTGGCTTTGAGCAGTTTCCCTGTGTCTTTGCTGTTCTCGTTTCTCAGATGCTTGGGGTCTCTAATGAAACCCTGGAGGAAGGAACCAAGGGGAAGGGTGGGATGACACTTTTTCAATGGCTTTTTTTTTCCCCCTGTTGGTTTTTTAAGATTAACCATTCTCTGCTGCTATTTCCTTGCATAATGTAAGTTTTTAACTGCGATTTTGAGATGATTGAAATGTACTTGAGGCTTTTTTTTTCCTCCCCTAAATTTGAAAAGGCTTTGTGAATTTTATTTTAGGATTGACCTCTCCTAGACATGCCCTAAACATCACATATTCCTTGGGTAATATGAGCAGCAAAAGAGGGAGGATTGGGGTCAAGCCACTTACTCAGCATGGACCAAGTAGGCCTTGGGGATTACAGCATTCTCCAGAAGTGGCTTTAGAACTCTAATTTGCAGAAAGTCAAGGAGGTGCAACTCAAGGCTCTACTAGCAAGCAACCTATGAAAATGTCGGACATCCACCTTTTTATATGGAAGATTGTTTCAGTCATTTACTCACCAACAATGACAAAGGAAAAAATGTCATTATGCAATCCATTTAACCCATAACCATATTACTCTGAGGAACTATCCAGCTACTCATCGGATCCTTGATTGGTTACTCCTGAAATCAGACATGTTCCTGTAGAAAGAATTTAAGTCATGTCTATGCACATATCAAGAATAAAGAACTTGTATCAAACAACGGCAGGGAAATCCTTCAGCAGTTCTAATCCACTTTCGGTTTTCAGCTATATTTACATCTAAAGCAATAGCAGACTTACCTGAAATCTCTTCTACGTTGTAAAATCAATTGTGGAATTCAGGAATTATGGTGAAATAACCAAAAAACACGTAAGCGAACAGAAGGCCCCTTTTTAACAATTGATGGGAAATTTTAATAGGAGAAAGAACATGTAACTTTGTAAATGTTTCCCAGCAAATAAGGGCTTTTCCCCCCCCTACTATTTAAAGAGCCAGATAAATTAGAAGATCTGGAAAGTGGCAGCTGTAGAACTTGATCTTCTAAGTACTTCACGAACTTTTATTGAGCTTAATCATAATACTGTCAAATTACTATGATCCCAGGAAAGGATTTCTATTTGCTGTTAAAAATAAAGCTCTGATACATTTTTATTCTTTCTACTGAGTGCATTGTCTGTTTTCTTAATAAATACAGTACAATAAACAAATTATTTAATAACCTACATGTTTCCAGAAATTTCTGTTTGTTTCCCAAGTTAGTCTGACCAAACAGTTGGAGGAAAAGATTGCTTAAATGTGCTTATTGAGTTTAAATTTGCACTGAAACTCCAACTTGAAGACTTGCCATTTGTGGGGTTTGTAGTTTTGCTTCTAGCTTTTAGTTGTGGAATTAAAGCACATTTAGGAGGATTTTTTTTTTAATATTTATTTTTCAGTTTTCGGTGGACACAACATCTTTGTATGTGGTGCTGAGGATCAAACCTGGGCTGCACGCATGCCAGGCAAGCGCACTACCGCTTGAGCCACATCCCCAGCCCTAGGAGGATTTTTAAGAAAATTAGTTCCTTCATCCAGTAGTGTTTTCCCATAACATTTGCAGGGTTTTCCCTCAAATTAAAAATTCAGTATGTGCAAAATTTGGTAAACTCTAGTCATTGTCATGATGTACATTATTGTTATGCATAGGTTTTAATACATTTGTCTGATTCACTCTTTAGGATTAAAATTCTTAGAAATGGAATGTCTGGGCCAGAGAATGAACACGTTGCATCCCCAGCCCCCACTGGGATCAAACCAAAGGTGCTCTACCTCTGAGTTATATGCCCACTGCTTATTTTAAGACAAGATCTTCCTAAATTGCCCCGGCTAGCCTCAAACTTGAACTCCTTGCCTCAGCCTACTGAGTCAGTGGAATTACAGGCATATGCCACTTCACTTAGCTGAGTAGGCACATTTTTAAAAGTCTAATAAAAAGCCTTATCACGAAAATTCTTAAGACTTTTTCTGTGTACTAACAGTTTTTTGAATGGGCCTGTTATAGTCTCACTTATTCCTGATAGTTTGCCCCCAAAGAAGGAATATGTTGTTTTATGCACACTTGATTATTGATGAGGTGAAACACTTGTTTCATGGTTTTACTGGCCCTTTTACATTTTTTGTGTATCTGCATATATTTTCTAGCTTTACTTTGGAGTGCTTCCCAATTTGATGACTTGGTAGGGATTTTTTGTCATTTTTCCCTTACATATTTACTGAGGTTTTAATTTGCCTTATGTTTTTATTTGTAGCCTTACTATTGTTGGTACTGGGGATTGAACCCCGAGGTGGTTTTTTTTTTTTTTTTTTTTTTTTTGAGTCCATGCCTTACTAAGTTGCTTAGAGCCTCAGCCTCCCAAGTCACTGAGATTAGAGGTGTACACCATTTTTTATGGCCTTTTTTAAGTGTTATTGTAGAAAGCCCTTTCCCACCTACCCCTGAACTGCATAAACTGTTCTGGTTAATTTGTTTTAATTATGCAATACTTAAGACATAGTGTGTTTGTAATGTTGACCAGAAAATAACCTATTTGAGCTTAATCGTACCAAGATGTTTACCAGACTGACATACCAAGGCAGTGACTCTAATCCTGGGTTAAATGTATGAACCTCTAGATTTAGGGAAACCCTTTGTGCTGTTTTACAAGAACCTATAGCTGTCCAAAAAAAAAAAAAAAACAGCAAACCAAGGGTTCACAGGAAGTCGTGTAGTTCTCCAGAGCTGGCTTCATTATTGTCCTTTTTTCCCCTCTACTAGGGATTGAACCCAAGGGGAATTAACCACTGAGCCACATCCCCAGCCCTTTTTTGTATTTTCAGACAAAGGGTCTTGCTAAATTGCTGAAGCTGGCTTTGAACTTGCAATCCTCCTGCCTCAGCCTCACAAGCCTTTGGAATTACAGGCATATGGGATTTTTTTTGTTTGTTTTTTAAACTTATGAACCATGTAGAATCTTCAAGGCCAGCCTTATGAAGAAAGTGCTAAAGTGGTGATTTACTGAAAATGCATCTATATTTCTATTCACTTTAAAATAAAGCCTTAGACATGAGAGCTCGAATAATCAATGTCTTGGGAGTTGGCAAAGCATTGGTAACAATCTAGAATGTTGATATAGGAAGGTAACTAAATCTCAGTAGGAGGCTGGGGATATAGTTCAGTTGGTATAGTGCACAAGGCCCAATCCTCAGCACCACAGGCAAAAGAAAAAGATAGGAATCAAGTTTGATTTTTGTGTCGCTGAAGATGTTGAAAGTTGATATGATATGCATTTATTTCTAAATTCTTGGAGCAATATTAATTCAGACATTCCAGTTTAAAAGCAGAAAGTTTGAGATCATGTTGTATTTAGAAATGTTAGCCAAGGAATTAAGTAAGTTTAGTATCTGGTGCTGTCTATAAACTGCACCATTCCTTGTAAATGTCCAGTTTATCTTCCCAAATTCAGTCTTCATCATTATCTCCCTTTTGTCTTTAATTCAAATCTGGTCTTTGCTCATTTTAATATAGTGAAAAGTTTTGCCCTCCAAATGGCAGAATTGGACATTTATAGAGGTGAGTGCATTAACAGCCAGCAATTTGACTTGTGTTCATAATTGTGTCACAAAGATGACATTACATAAGTTGCTTTGGATTTACTAGGTATTGAGGAGAGTAGTGAATGTTGGAAATCTAGTAGATCCTACTGAAGGTGAATAATAGTAAATTTTCAGAATTTGAGCTCTTATGCTTTTCATCTTTATCAGCTTATTACCAAACAAATACATAAAGGCATGTCAAACATTACCATGTAAGGCTACCAGAAGGTAACCTTTGTTCCAGTAAAGCATTCTGATAAATGCCTATGTAGGCAGAAATTATTGAAAAACAACTTTTCAAAGAGCTCCAGTGAATCCTACCTTCTGGTTCACATACCCTGTTTCAGTGGGCTTTCCTGGAGTGTGGGCTTGGCTTTTTGACTGTTAGAGCTACTCACTGTGAAACAGGCACCACAACCATCTATACACCCGCCTCAAACAGGCAAACCATAAGTGAGAAAGGAACAAGATAATTTGGAAAGAAGTACAGATTTCACTGATTTTTATTCTAATATAGATAAATAAGGTTTGAATTACCTTTAAGAATTTATTTAAAGATAAACCCACTTAGAGAACTGAAAATCATTAATGTTATTAGTAAAATAGAATTTTTAGTTCCCTTGGAAGATAAAAGGTGGTACATGTGTTGTATGATCATAAACAGATTTGCAGGTCCTTTCCCAACATTGGCCATAAGCCAAACATGATTCCTGTTTTGGTGAAATTCAGTGTTGGCAAGAGCAGAGGATGGCCTGTAGGCAGCTGCATTGTAAGCCTCCCAGGAGCTTCTGTGGACCACCACATGAGAAGAAAAATAACTTGACAGTGGAGAACTTTTAGAAACTTCTCTTGTACCTCTTTTATGAGAAAAAGTCCCTAAGCTACAGGATTTGTTAAATGGTTTTTAATCAAAAAGGGAGTGCCTGTGAATTAAATAATTTTATCAGCAAAAAATATGAATGTGATTATTATAAAAAGACCAAGTGATGAGGTAAACTCTGTTATAGTAGTTTTTATCACCAGCTGTTTAACTGGATTCACACTAGGATATTCATTCTCAGCCTAGCTGAACCAGTGCAGACAGCAGAGTGAGCAAGTAGTACTGTACAAGAAACAACTGATGGCCCAGAATAACAAAATTTCCATATCATTTGATCAAGCAACAAGATTCTTAGTTTTATTCAGCATTTATCCCCTCTCCCCCTGTGAGAATAGCATACCCAGGTAGTTTCTTTACTGAGTAACTCAAAATGGACAAAGACCAGATCCTATTTCAGTATCGCTCAAAAGTTTTTGACAAGAAGTGCCTTCTATTCCTGTAACAAATGACTTGGATACAGGTAACAAATTTCTGAAGCTGGTATCTGGTTCTGGTTGGGTCAGTGAGGAAATGTTGAGGAGATAAGTGTGAAATTAGTCTCAAAGGGTTTTTGGTTCACTGTACCAGGGATGAACCTGAGGTCTTGTGCATGCTAGATAAGCTTTGTACCACTGAACTATACCTCCACCACCTCAGGAGTTTTTAGGTCCTACGTATATTTACCCAATTAGACTAACTGATGGATGTTAAAGGATTCAGATTCTGGTGGTTCCGCCGTTCCTTGCCTCTCTGAACATCAGTAAGTAAGCAAAAAGCGGGGAGAAGCAAGAGACCCCCCTTCCCCCACAATCAGCTTGAATTAATCCAACATACTTTCAGCCACCTCTTCTTCAGTGACCTTTTTAGAGCTGTTAGCATTTGTTTCTGTGTGTGCCTTGAAATGATTGTACCCTGCGTGAAGTAGTTGCCAGAGACTGAGGAGAGACCCCTAGAGAGGACTTGCCAGGCCTCTCATTTTACAGAAAAGCTGGTGTTAAAAGATAGGAATGAAATTCGGACTCCTCCATGGCTGAGCAACTCCCATGCCACTCTGCCTCTGAACAGCTTTGATAAGGGTCACTGCAGTTCTGCTTCACCTGGAAGAGGTCTCTGTGCTGCAGGAGTCTTGTCTTAAGAGATGGTCAGCTTCCAACCACGATGCACGACTTGGGCCAGGGACAAGGAAGCTGGAGGAAAGAGTTATATCTGAAGAATTAGATGCCCTAATTTTCCATTGTCTGGGAAATAAATGACCTGTAATGTAAGAAAAACAAGACAACAAAAGATTTCAGTATTATAATATTTGACATTTTTTTAATTTTTTTTTTTTAGTTAGTTGGACACACACAATACCTTTATTTATTTTATTTATTTATTTATTTATTTTAGTGCTGAGAGGATCGAGCCCAGTGCCTTGCACATGCTAGGTGAGCACTCTACCACTGAGCCATAACCCCAGCCCCTAGATTTGACATTTTTTAAGTAAAAAAAATAATAATATCATTTATTCTTGCATTACAACTTCAGTTCTACCCAGATGTAGGAATTTCCTCATTCATGTGTAAGATAGTATTCATGGCCCCTTGTGTGGTCTTTGAAAATATAGTGGGGGAAAGGGAGGCAAAGCGATATAGTTGCTCTTTGATTTAGTGATTTCATTTGGAAATTTATCAACAAAAGCAAAAAGTTATTAGCTATGATAGCAACCCTAAATGTCTAATAACCAAGGTGTGGTTTAGAAAATAATGGTACATCAATGCTATGGAACTCATGGCTTTAAAAAATTTTAATAATGAACATTTCAAAAACATGGGAAAAAGTGTTTGATTCTCTAATACTTTGCTACTCAAAGTATGATCCCAATTCACGATTCTGGTTAGAAATGCAGTGTCTGCAGCCCCTCTACTAACTGAATCAAAATCTACATTTTATTTTATTTATTTATATGCGGTGCTGAGAATCGAACCCAGTGCTTCACACATGCTAGGCAAGTGCACTACCACTGAGCTACAACCCCAGTCCCCAAAAATCTGCATTTTAAAAAGTTTCCAGGTAACTAAATGCACACTGAAGTTTGATTATGCTCTAATAGGTAGAGAGGTGTTATAATTATTCATAAGAGTATAGGTAGTCAAGGATTAGAAGGTACTTTGCAACATAAAAATAATGTAAATGGAGCCAGGGGCGGTAATCCCACAGGCTTGGGAGGCTGAGATAGGAGGATCACGAGTTCAAAGCCAGCCTCAGCAAAATGAGGCACTAGGCAACTCAGTAAAACCCTGTCTCTAAATAAAATATAAAAAAGGGCTGGGGATGTGGCTCAGTGATCGAGTGCCCCTGAGTTCAATCCCCTGTGCCAAAATAATAACAATAATAATAATGTAAAAGGAGATAATTCCTCCTACCCACACAAAGCACCTGGCCTGCTATAGGACCTTAATAAATGGCACTTTTAGATGACAGTGTTGTAGGTTTTTTGTTATTGGTTTTACTCAACAGTCTTCTTATGTCACATTTTGTGAACTAAAAAAAATTAAAAAATTATTTTGTTGTGCTTCCTTTTGAGTCAGACATTAAAACTGGTTAATTCATTGTTTTTCTTTTTGCCTCAGCTATCAGGAAGCATGCAGCTAAACTTAATACTCAATATAGTAATTTTATTAGACTAGCTTTCTTGAATATTTGTTTTTCTCTCTATGACTTTTATTTCCTATTTTATTAGGTTTTCTACTATGTTTCTTACAAATCATTTAAAAAATTTTTTTCTGAAAAGAAGGGTCCAAATGATAATGACAACTTCTAAAAACAATCTGTTCTTGTTTGCCAGGCTCCAAAAATAAATAAGTTTAGGAAGCTAACCCCATATCTATTTTGAAGTATTCCTTTTCTTGTTCTTTTCCATATCTCAAGACGGGTAAAACCAAAGGCTTCCTGTCTGACCCCACCCGACACCAGGGAAGGTCTCAGGTGCCAGTTAGCTCCCACACTGGTGGTCTGCTCCTCCTCTGTCCCAGGCTGCATCACAGTAGCCCCTACACTCCAACCCCAGGAGTCATTCTGCCTAAGAATTCAACAAGAAAGCTGAAAGGCCCCAGCTCTTCAAAGGCATGCAGACCACCTTCCAATAAAGTTACTCACCGGCCCTTCAGCTGCTTTAGACTTCCTCTGTAATGAAAGAACAGTATGTGTTTACAGCCAAGCCTTGTTTTTACCCTAATTCCTGCACATTATCCCATCTCCAAACTAAATCAGATCCCTCTCATTCACTCTCAAGAAAGCTTGCACTTTTCTGTACATAATATTTATCAGTTTGTAATTCTGTACTTAATCATTGTCTCCCTTACCAGACTGTAAGCTCCAATTTAGACTTCTCCAGTCACCACTTTACCCCCAGTGCCTAAAGATGTTGGTAGGTAACTGGAGCACAATAGTTGTTATTATTGGATGGAAGTGTGATGAAAAGTAGAGATGCTGGAAAGACCAGAGGGAAGAGAACTAATATTTATTAATTATTTATAATATGCAGGCTTTGTTAGTGCTTTATGTGTATTATTGAATCCTAAGAATAATCCTTTTTATTAATATAATTCAGTAACAAAATCCACTCATTTAAAGTATAAAACTCAGTGGTTTTTAGTATATTTACTAGTTGGTGCAACCATTATCACTGTCTAATCCTAAGATGTTTTCATCACCCCAGAAAGAATGCTATGTCCCTTAGCAGTCACTGTCAATTCCTCCCTCTTCCCCCCCACAGGAAACTACTAATTTGCTTTCTGTCTGTATGGATTTGCCTATTCTGACATTTTATATAAATAGAATCAAACATATCCAAATGGAAGCCAGTCTTTTGTGTCTGGCTTCTTTCATTGTTTTCGAGGTTCATCCTATTATCCTTCATTCCTTCTTAATATTCATTGTATGGATAAACACATTTTGTTTATCCACTCATCAGATGGTGGTCATTTGGGTTGTTTTTGCTTTTTGGCTATTATGCAGCTTTGAACATTTGTGTGCAAAGTTTTTATGAACATATGTATATTTTCAGGGTTTTTTTAATGAATTTTTATACCTTTATTTTATTAACTTATTTTTATATGATGCTGAAGATCAAACCCAATGCCTCACCCATGTGAGGCAAGATCCTTAACACTGAGCCACAACCCCAACCCATGTTCTCAATTTTACTGTGTATATATATACCTAGGGGTAGAATTACTGGATCATATGATAACTATGATTAACTATATGGAACTGCTAGACTGTTTCCATTGTCTAAGTGTTCCAATTTCTTCACATGCTAACCAACACTTTTTTTTGTTTTTTGGGTTTTTTTAATATTTATTTTTTTAGTTGTAGTTGGACACAATACCTTTATTCCATTCATTTATTTTTATGGTGCTAAGGATGGAGCCCAGGGCCCCACGCATGCTAGGCAAGCGCTCTACTGCTAAGCCACAATCCCAGCCCCCAAACCAACACGTTTAATTGTTCATCTTTTTATTGTAACCCTGCTAGTAAGTGGATTTTGATTGGCATTTTCTTAATAATTAATGATGGTGAGTATTTTTATATGCTAATTGCCATATACATATCTTCTTTGCAGAGATGTCTATTCAAATTGCCTGTTTTTAAAATTGAGTAAGTAAGGGCTGAGGGTCTGGCTCAGTCATAGAGCACATGCTTAGGGGGACTAGGGCTATGTCTGTCTGCCCACCTAGGATCCCCAGGCAGGTGACACACTGTGGAGGAGGGTAATTTACCTTTTCCATCTGCCTTGTAGTCATCAGGGAGGAGCTTGTCCTGCCGGTAGCCCAAAACAAAAGCCAAGAAGGAGAGGATGAGGGCATCGCCGATGCTGAGGATGGCCAGCATGAAGGCCCAGCGGATGGTACAGTGGCCCAGAGTGTACTTGCCTGTCTGCTCCCCACACATGCGTCGCACCTCACTTGAGTCCCAGCCGTCTGGGTAGACCAAGCAGCCTATCATTAAACCTGTGGCTAAGGGGGAAAAAAGGGTAAAGATGATGTCATGCTAGGGGTGTCAGCTCCCTACCTCCCACTTTGAATTACTCTTATTTTGTCACCTCCCTGGTCTTTGCATTAGCCTTGAGAGGAACATTAGGCAGCTTCTACCATTCTTCTTGTAAAACACAAGTGAAAAAAATGGGCTCCAAAATCTAAAAGCAGCTGGTCCCTGAGACCCAGCAGTCAGAGGCAGAGGCAAAGAACTGAGCTCTTTGGCCAGGGTGACATCTGTCACTGCATTAGGTAGTCCTACTAGCCCCTCAGCTTATCTCTTCATCTTGGATTCAAGGAGGCACTGCTTGCCCTGGCTCCAAAACCCTCTCAAATCTAGTCCCAGTGGCTTAGGGAGCTTGAGTCAGTCAGATCACAAGTTTAAAGCCAGCCTCAGCAACTTAGCGAGGCCCTGTCTCAAAATTTAAAAAAAAAATAAAAATGGGCTTGGGATGTAGCTCAGTGGCTAAGGACCCCTGGGTTCAATCCCTGGGAGGATGGGGGTGGGGGATCCAGCCCAGAGAACTTATCTCTCTGAAAATATATATTGTTCATATTTCAACATCTCAACATCTCGGAAATTAGTATAATAAGAAAACATTAGTCCATAGTTTTGATTAGCAGTATTTTCCCTTTTTACAGTATACAGCATAATAATGTGTCCTGTAACTCAGAGATATTAGATTCAGTGACTACAAGAAGGCTTTCCAAGCCCCAATGCATGCTTTCTTCATGAACCTTCCATGTGAGCAAACAGGTTCCTCCTCCCCCATACCTAGTACTGCACAGTGCAGCTGCTCACACTTGCCTGAATTTAAAAATCCCCTGGAATATTCATTTTAAGTGCTGGAACTCAGGCCAAGGTTGGGCTCAAGAATCCTTGTTGTTAGAAGCACTGTTCCAGGCAATTCTTTCCATAGGAGAGGTGGAAAACACTAGACCAGGCTGCCTGGATTTCAAGCCCACTGTTTTTTGCTAATTAGCTGTGTGACTTGAAGCAAGCTGCTTAAACGTTTTTTTTTTTTTTTGTTTTGTTTTGTTTTGTTTTGCCTGAGTTTCCTTATCTGTAAAATGGAGATAATATCGCCTATGTGTTGGGGTTATAGCAAGCTTAAATTTAGTTAATAATGGAAAGGAACTTGGGCCAGGCACAACATGAGGCATTCCATGAGGGTTAGCTACTGGGCACAGCTACTCAGTGTCCTACTGACTTGGCATTGACAAGGCAGCCTATCATTAAATTTTATTTTCCCCTTCTTCCCCCAATTTCTTCCATACCTTCCATGAAACCACTTTTCCCACATTAGCTTCAATAGGGTGAAGCATAGACAGGTGACATAATCCTAGAATGTGACCAGGGTGATCCCAACCACAATTGCCGTGCAGGCAGGGCCTTTATCTGTGCCACTTTCCCACCCTTGACCCTCTTTCCACAAGCTCAGGGGCCCCCTAGTCCCAAAACCATACCCTACCCAGAAGATGCTCAAAGAAGTATCTCATGCAAGCAAAAGTTACATTCCTTGGATCCAGCTTGTTCTTACAAGGAAAGTAAGTGGATCAAACATATGATGTAAAGACCAGGGTCCCCCCTCCTCACCTAAATATATTAACCTTCCTTTGATTTTTTATAAGATTTTAAAAATAATTTATACAGCTCTTAAAGGAATCACAAAAAAATTCATGTACTATCTTGATCATGACAAAAATTGCATAAAGTAAGCCAAATATTAATATCCCCCCTTTTACAGATTTGAAAATTGAGGTCTCAGAGAAATCAGGCAGCTTTCTCAGTCATCCAGCTGTAGTACTTCCTTCTGATTTTCCTGACTTCTTTTTTCTTTTTGGTACTGGGGATTAAACCCAGGGGGACTCAACTACTGAGCCACATCTCAGCCCTTTTATTTATTTATTTTTAAATAAATTTGAGACAGGGCCTTGCTACATTACCTAGAGTGGCTGGCTTTGGACTTGTGATCCTCCTGCCTCAGCCTCCAGAGCCACTGGGATTACAGGCGTGTGTCACCACACCTGGCCTGACTTCAAAATTAATTCCTTCCACACTAGATTGTGACATTTATCCAAAGGGCTGAATGTATTTAGTGGTGACATTTCAGACTTCTTGACAAACTGAAAAGTGTTCAGGAAGACACTTAGGGTAAGGGAGAGGGAATCTTTCCACAGCAATTTGGTAAAATGTATAGCCCACCCTTGGCTGGTTGGCATGGCCTCTAGTTTAAGCAGCATCCTACAAATGCTGAAGGCACAGGTGAAAGTGGAAAGAAACTGCTCTTTTAGACTTCTCTTTCTCCCCAAAACTCTCCCCACAATCCCCTTCCCTGTCTATAAAATTTCCTATAGGGGTTCTGTAAAAGAATCCAAAGCTTCTGGCTTGGAAACAGGTTGTTGTTACTGTGGATGGGTGGGTTGCACCCCATCTATCCACCCCTGGTTCTGTGCATAGTTGGGGGACTATCCCATTTGTGTGTCTCAGAGCTCTAAAGAGACTAATACCTGACTCAAAGCAGGGTTGTGAGGAATAAGTATAGTCATGTAAAGAAAACACCAGTGTCTGGTACATGGTGAAAGGCCAATGATGTTAATTCTTGCTATTGTTATTGGCAATTCCTTCTGATGGAAGCCATGTTGCAGGATGTGGGCATCATAAGATATTCACACATATTTCCAGTACAAGGTAGGATTGTACTTCCTTGCCCCACTCTCTTGAGGTTATGCAAGGCCACATGAACTCCTTTGATCAATAAATGAGCAGAAATGTGTGCACTGCTAAGCTAGAGAATTTAACTGCTGGTGGGAGACTTTCCAGAGCTCTCTTTCCCTCTGCACATGTCAATGACAAGTGATGCTTTTTCAGCCTGGGGTTCAAAAGGAGAGAAGAACAATAAGCGTAGTGCCCCCAACTGATCCTCCGTGGGCAGGTAATATAAGCAAGAAATAAACCTCTGTTTCAAGCCACTAAGACTTAGGAATTATTACTGTAACAACATTTCCTATCTTACTGAAGAGGTTGTTTTCTATTTTGCACATTTACTGAGTACCTACCATGTACTAGGTACTGTGCTAGGTGTTTTGCATGCATAATATCATCTCACCTGCACAAGAACCCCATTAAGGCATGGGGGCAGAAAAGATGGTGGAATGAGACGAGCATCATTACCCTAGGTCTGTGTGCACATATGTATGTCTACATCGTGTACAACCAGAGAAATGAAAAGTTGTGCTCCATTTGTGTACAATGAATCGAAATGCATTCTGCTGTCATGTATAACTAGTTAGAACAAATTAAAAAAAAGAACCCCATTCCTGTTGCTACATTCTATGGATTAGTACAATAGACTGAATGTTTATGTTCCAAAAATCCATATATTAAAATTCTAACTCCAAATGTAGCAGTTATTACAAGATGGGGCTTTTCGGAACTAATTAGATCATGAAGATGGAACTCTCATGAATGGGATTAGTGCCCTTACAAAAAAAGATCTAAAGAACCTTCTTGCCCTCTTTCCATTTTTGAGGACAAGGACAAAGTTAGCAGTTTGCAATGGAAGAGGGCTCTCACCAGAACCAGGCTGGGTTGGCACCCTGATCTCAGGCATCTAGCTTCCTAAACTGTGATAAATAAATTTCTGTTGTTTAAGCCCCCTGGGCTCAGATGATTTGTTGTAGCAGCCCAAATTGACTAAGACATGAGCTTACCAAGACCCAGAGAAGACAAGCAACTTGACTTGCCTATGGCTTTAGGAGCTAGGACCATATTCAGCCTATACCTGGCCTCCAGATGCTCAACTAATATTATTAAGCTACAACCCCACATTGCCTCGTTAATCAGATCTTTTATCCCTGCTCTAACACTTCCCTGCTCCCAGCCTAGTGGGCAAAGTTAAGCGAACTTGTTTAGGTTTCTGTAAATTAATGTGTCTCCCAGCTGCTTGCTGTGGGGTGCACTCCCTCCTTATTCTCCTCTCTTTGGCTCATCCTTCCTTCTCCAACACAGCGGAATGGAACACGATACCACCTTTGCCTTCTCCAAAGGTAAATGTTTCATACGATTGCACCTGGCTACCTCTGCTATCAGTGTCACTAGTTCTGTGACCCAGATAGGGTCTGACTCAAATAGCCTGCTGACACCTCCCCCACCCAGGCCTTCCTGGTACTGCTCAGCAAATGGCACCTGTTGCAGACATTGGGGTGAGGGGTGGGCAGCACTGGGAATAAAAGAGGAATGGTGTGTCTCCAGCATTCCATCACCCTGATGGAGAACCAGCTGGCAGGCACATCAGAGTCCGTGCTATTCCTCTTTGGCACAGAACTGCTATCTATATCTTCAGTCCTCTCTTTTATGTTTTCTTTCTTTCCATCTTTATTTTCTCTTCATCCGCAACCCTTTTTTATTTTGAGATAGGGTCTCATTAAGTTGCTGAATCTGGTCTCAAACTTGTGATCCTCCTGCCTCAGTCTTCTAAGACCCTGGGACTTCATGTGTATGCCATCATACCTGGCTCCCCTTCTTTCTTGATATGGCCACCCTCTATTCTTGTCTCCATTACCCACCAAATTTTGCCTCACTCCTGTCCTGGTCTCTCCCTCATCATATAAAGAGACTACAGAGGAGAGGGAGAGAGTGGGGATATCTAGAAGAGGTTCTGAAGTCAGGTTAGTGGCCTGGGTATAAGACTGGGAATCAAGAATCTACCCCCAAAGACAAGTTACCCACCAGCAGTCTTAACTGTTAAATGTAAAAATATTCACTTCCTGGGTTGTGATGAGGCTCTCCAGATGAAATATGTGAAAGTATCTTGTAAATCATTTTACTTATATAAATATGAGTCTCAAAAAGAGTGTCGTTGAGGGCTAGGGTTGTGGCTCAGTGGTAGAGTGATTGCCTAGCATGCTTGAGGCCCTGGGTTTAATTTTCAGCACCACATTAAAATAAATAAATAAGAATAAAGATATTGTGTCCATCTACAAACTAAAAAAAAAAAAGAATGTCTTTTGGAGTATGTCTAGTTTTGGGGGACCTGATGCTTTATCTCTCCTACTTCTCAGTTGCCAGCTGATTGCCAAGTCTGACCCTCTCTCTCAGACCTAGATTCCTCATCTGCAGTTGCTGGTGGGATATAGCTCTCTGGGGACCCCTCCAACTCTGCACTATGTGTTTGGTGGTCTGGGATTCAGATTCCTGTTTCATTTTCTCCTGAGATAACACCTCATCCCGTTCTAACCAAAGATGTTGGGAGTTCCGCTCTAGTCTGCAGTCCCCAGCACTGTTCCTGAACATCCCAGCATGGACAGTCTGTGCCTTGGGATAGACAGGGATGAAGGGACCAAAGGCCACAGAAAAGATCTTGGTCCATCTCTTCCTGGGCTCTAGAGGAGAAAACAAAACAAAACAAAAAAACAGGTGACCCAGAGGAGAAAAGCACCAATAAGCCTGCGTGGACCAGGAGCAGGAAAAAGGGGAGGAAAATCCTTGCCTCGGGTCACCACAAATGGCTGCCTATCTCATATAGTTTTAAAGGACCCTGGACAGCCTCCCTCCACCTCACAAAATATTGCTCCATTTGCTGCCTCAAGTATGAAATCCTACACTGAGGGAACAATGATTCACTCTACAATGAGAAAGGGGAGTTTTGATGAAAGTTTCTAAGGGAGAGATCACACATGGTGTAATAGTTACACTCCAAAATACATGGCTGACCTTAGAAATGCCAATCAGTACTATTTAGGGTTGGAGAGAGGGCAGGAATGTGAGTACTGATAAGTGAGATAGAACAAATGCCCAGAAGTGGGAGATGAGGGCATCTAGAATGGTGACCCACATCACAATTTTGCGCCAGGGCTGAGTCCTATTCCCACAGGGCTGACAGTGGACGCTTCCTTCTTTCTTCTTCCTGGAGCTGCAACAACCTCTCAAAGTATGGTGTCCTGGGAGTCAGGACACCTGAGTTCTCTTACCAGGAGCTGTGTGCTCCTGCTCAAGTCACTGCTGTCAGGAAAGATAAGACCATCTTTGTAATATATGAAGTTTGAAAAGTTTGGTCTCTGAAGTCCTTTATGCTTCAATCATTAAGATTCCCTGTTCAGAATCTAAACAGATAGTTAAGTAGAAGACCCGGAGCCTCCACACAGGGTGGGATGATGTAGCCATGGCTGTGGCCTGCCCTCCCATCAACCCCGCTCGCTCACCTGCAGCCAGCTGCATCCACGCACAGATCTTGTAGACAGTGGCCGAGTTGCAGATGAAGAACAGACTGAAACAGATGATGGAGCCAATGATGAGGAACATGGCCAAGGCCACGAAGAACATGGCTGTCTTGAAGGCTCTGGAAGGGATGGAGGAGAAGTCCAGAGGGCCGCCCTTGCAGATGAGCTCGGAAGAGAGCACGTTGCCCACGCAGTAGGAGAAAAGGCCGAAGTAGCCCGCCTGGGGCGTATTGACGCTGTCACCGATCCAGTAGGGCTGGATGAAGAGGGCCATGACCAGCACGGAAAAGCAGATGGTGAGCGTGCCCCACATCACACCCACCGCCCGCGAGTTCCGCACATAGTTGGTGTGGTAGATCTTGGCTGCCTCCTGGGCGGGCAGCAGCTTCACCATGGTGAAGGCAGCAGGCCTTGGACCAGGCGCCTGTGGGCTGCCAGGCGGAGGCTATGTGGATGGAGGCCCAGAAGTGAGTCACTCCTCAGTGGGGCTTGGAAAGGAGGCTGAGGTCGGGGCACAAGGTGAGAATCCTTCCAGCGCAGGCGGGGAAGAGGCTTAACTGGACAAGGGTGGCCTTGGCGTCCTCAGGTGAGGTTTGCCAGGTGCCTGTCTCTGCTCTAACCCGCCTATCTCCGGTGTTCTGCCTCCTCTCAAGGTCCTGCTGGCGCCACCCTGTCCCCTCCCGTTTTTCCAGTTCAGAGCTCCAGAGAGTACCGCCCCCTTCGCCGGGCCGGGCCCTGCCCTCCTCCCTCTGGCAGAGAGCGTCGTTTCAGCACCGCGGCCAGCGCCCCGGGGCTCCGGGAGGGGGTGGAGCCGGACGGCCGAGTCGGGGGCGGGGCTGACCCGGCGGGGTGGAGCCGGGAGCCACCCGACCCCGCGCGCCCCCTGCGGGGACCTAAGACCCCTCTCACCCTCCTGCAGCCGACAGGAATTGGGAGGGCTGGGCTGTGGCTGCCACGTTTCTCTGCTCAGTTCCAATCGCAAAACGGCTTCTCCCACAAAAAGCCCCGACCACACACTACCCACCCGGGTCTGGCTCCCCGTCGCCCTCCCGGAGTCCCCAACCCCCACCGCCAGAGGTCAGCAAAATCTTTCCTGGTTATGTTTTCTGGTCCCTTTCGTTCAGTCAACAATTGCAAAGAGCCTAGTTAGTATGCATTAAGCTTGTGTTGGAGGATAACTTCCAAGCAAAAGCCACAGAGATAAAAAGGCAGGAACCCTGCCCTCAACGGCAGTGAGACACGTACGCTGATAATGTATGTAGTGTGTATGAAAATACCACACGCAGACCGAGGACAGAAGGGACTAGAAAGCGCAGCAAAGAGCATTCTTCATGAGCCTTCTCAGACCTTAACATATGCTCTTTGTTCAGTGCAATGCCTTTCTCCCTTGTTTATGTATTTTTTTTGGCATATATATATATATATATATATATATATATATATATATACATACATACACACAAAATTTGATATATTTTATATATTTCCCTTTTAAAAACATATTTCTCTTAATTTTATGGGTAACTACATGGCTACTGTAGAGAAGTAGGAAAATTTAGGAAAGTATATGTGAAAGAATAAAAATCCTTCCTATCCTCCATCAAGAGCTCAGGAAAGATAAGACCATCTTTAAAACACAAACTTTGGCTTTAGATCAACCTGGATTTGAGTCAGCCACTTACTAGCTAAGTAACCATCCATAGGTTGAAACTTCCTGAGCCTCAGTTTTTTCACCTTTAAAACAGGGGTGATGATTTTATCCATCATGTAAGGCTTAGGTAACTGTAAAATGTTTAGCCCAGAGTATCACATATGAAGTATTCAAAAATGCTGATGAGGGGGCTGGGGTGATGGCTCAGCGGTACAGCGCTTGCCTCGCATGTGCAGGCCCTGGGTTCCATCCTCAGCACCACATAAAAATAAATAAATAAAATAAAGGTATCGTGTCCAACTACAACTAAAAAATAAATATTAAAAAAATGTTGATGAGTATTGCCTCTGTTAACATGGTGCATTTCCCTCCTGCACATACTGCTTCATACAGATAATAATGTATATACAATTTTATATACAATTTTTTCTCTTAGCATTATACCATATAACATTTTGGCATAGTACTTTTCCCCAAAACATTATTTTAATACTTGTGCGATGATGTAACATTTGTTGTACGTACCATAATTATTTAATCATTTACCCGTTGGCATGTTTGGCAATTTCTACTTTTGCTCTGTTCAAAACAATTCTGCCTTGAACATATTTGTGCTATTTCCCTCTTTCTCTTAAATCTCTTTTTGGGTTTTGTGACCATCTTCAGTATCAGACTGAAAGTTCATCAAGGTCACCACTCGCATCTCCACCATCAGACTGGAAGCTTCCCTAGAGCAGGGGCTGAGTGTTTCCTCAATCCGAAAAGGCCTTAGGCTAACTACAGCCAAACTCTTAGGAGTTGGTGGATACCCCTCATTTGGCCACCACGTACACCCTTCCCCTGCCTCCCCAGCTTCCTGAGGTTCTGGTTAGTCAGCCAAGCCCAAGGCATGCAGACCCTTGAGTACTGATCTGAGTGGCTCATCCAAGCTGGATCAAGTGGCCATCAGTCTTTCACTGGGAAACCTGAATTGCTGGTGGATGGGCATGAGGGGAACAACACTGTTGCTTTGTTGGATCTTGGCAACATCCCCAAGAAACAATCCATGAGCTCTTACTACTGGGCCTCAGCACCACTCTGATTCCTATGCCACCTAAGGAACAGGTTGCCCTGTTCCTTCTTCAGCTCTGTGAACCAACTAATTTCAATCTATTTTCTTCCATTTTGCTTTAATTAGCCAGAGTAGGTTTTGACTGTTGTCACCAAAGAGCCCTATATGATCCAAATATTGGCACCAGAAAGGGAGTTTCCTGCCTAGGCAACAGGCTCTGAGACGCCTGTTTATGTTCAAACTGGGAAAACAGCAGGCCGCCGTGCACAGAGGAGAAACAGCTACTCAAATATCAGCTGTGAACACCAGGGCCATGTGCCTTCTAGGGTCAAGTTCTGAGAACTGAATGACTTGGGCCATAGAGAGGTAGAAAGGGAATGGAAACATCAAGAACACTGAATGAAGTGACTACTTACAATGGCATTGAATAATGTCATGCAAGATAAGCTCAGATGTCTAGATCATTGATTTAAGAGATAAAATGAAATTCAAAACCTTTATGTAGTGTGGCTCAAAGAATCATCTAGGACTCGTTGCTACAAAATATAGGATCATTAAAGTAAGATCCAGGGATATGAGGGTGCTGAACTGCATAGCCTCAAACCCACCCCATGTTCCTGGGTCAGTAGACCAGGTCACCTCAGGAATGGGTAGACCCTTGGGCTAAAAAGTAATGTATTAAGAAGATCTGGGGTCACAAGTATGCTCCACTGTGCCCAGCTTCGTGTGTCTCTTATAATAACACTTTTCATTGGATTGAGGGCCCACCTAGATCATCTTGTTGGATCTCCATTTTGAAAAATTCTTAATTTACTTACATCTGCAAAGAATGTTTTTTCTTTCTTTTTTTTAAATATTTCACTATTATATTATTGATGGACCTTTATTTATTTGTTTACATATGATGCTGAGAATCAAACTCAGTGCCTCACACATGCAAGGCAAGCACTCTACGACTGAGCCACAAACCCAGCCCAAGAATATTTTCTCTATAAAAGATAACGTTCATGAGTTCTTGGGAACAGAATGTGGATCTTTCCCTGTCCCCTGACTTGGCTAAAAGTTAATGGACTAAGAAGATCTAGTCCAAAGCCTCTGGTGCTCAAAAGAATAAATCCCAAACAGTATTATGTCTCAAGGAGACCTGCAGAAATTAGTTACTAGCAATGACTTGAAAGATGAGGGGTGGTGACTCTATTTGTAATGAATGTTTGCCACATCGTTTGGTCCTGTTTGGGGCTGACCTGCATCTCAACCCCCTTCTTATTTTGGGGTGATACTCTGCTGGAGGAGAGCTCTGGTGTACCTCTGCTTTCACTGTGGAAGCTGAATGGGCAGGTCCCACTTCCCCTACCTGCTCGAGAGAGCTCTGCTGGCATGCTGGCTGGTAGAAGAGGGCCACCGCAGCATGACATCCTCACTCAGGAAGGCCCTTGGGACTTCAGGGAAAGGAAAGCTCCATGGAGCACAGAATTCTAAGTGCTAGTACAGCCCCTGAAAGATCCACATGTATTTCCAAGAACCTGTGAACATTATCTTTTTTTTGGAAAATATGCTTTGCAGATGTAAGTAAATAAAGGAATTTTCAAAATGGAGATCCAACAAGATGATCTAGGTGGGCCCTAAATTCAATGATAAGTATTTTTTTAATTTGTTCTTTTAATTTTTTAAAATTTTTTTTAGAGTGAGGAGAGAGAGAGAATTTTTTAATATTTATTTTATTTTTTTTTTTTAGTTTTCGGCAGACACAAGATCTTTGTTTGTATGTGGTGCTGAGGACCGAACCCAGGGCCTCACACATGCTAGGTGAGAGCTCTACCGCTAAGCCACAACCCCAGCCCTGTTCTTTTAAATTATACGTGACAGTAGAGTGTATTTTGGCAAATTATACATAGATAGATTATAATTTAGTCTATTTGGGATCCCATTCTTGTGGTTGTACATGATGTGGCATTACTCTGGTCTTGTATTCAAATACAAGGCTAGGAAAGTTATGTCTGACTAATTCTACTGTCCTTCCTATTCCTCTCCCCCTAACCTTCCCTTCATTCCCCTTTTAATGACAAGTGGCACAGTGAAGCACACTTCAGCAACCTGCAAGGCTGAGGCAAGAGAATTACAAGTTCAAGGCCAGCCTCAGCACTTTAGCAAGATCCTACCTCAAAATGAAATTAACAACAATGATGCTTGCTGCCAAAAGACAGAGACAGAGAAACAGACATATATTAAAGGATATAACAGAAAAAAAAAGGTGACAGGACCACAGAGTTAGATGGGGGAGTTGTGGCCGCAGCCAAGGAAGGCGGCAACCACCTGAAACAAGAAGAGGCATGAGCGGGGCGGGGTGGGGCGTGTAGCTCAGTGCCGAGCTCACACATAGCATGTGCCAGAGCTGGGTTCAGTCCCCAGCCCAAAAAGATGGAAGGAGCAGGAGGAAGAGAAGAAAGAGAAGGACGAGAGTGACCAAGTGGATTGTTCCCCAAATGCACTGCAGGGAATGAAGACCTGCCAACACCGTTATTCTACCGTTGGCCTCCAAAATTATGAGAGAGGGGGCTGGGGTAAAATCGCTTGCCTAGAATGTGTGAGGCTCTGGGTTTGATCCTCAGCACCACATAAAAATCAACAAATAAAAAAAAAGGTATTGTATCCACTTACAACTAAAAAAATAAAAAAATTGTGAGAGAATAAACTTCTGCTGTTCCAAGCCACCATGTTTGTTATGGCAGCCTCAGGAAACTAAAACAACACTTACTCAGTAAGGAGAAAGGGCCTGAGGCACCCATGACACCGTTTTGTGGGCAGTGACTGATGGACCAGCTAGATGATCAGCATCTAGGAGGGGTAAGTTTGAAAAATTAGGTTGAGGGGGAGCGTGTGGTTGGAACCCTGGGAATAGGGCAGAACTAGAGTACGTGGGTCTTATGGGAATATTCTCCAGGAGATTGGCCCTGCAGAGGAGGCTTTCACGTGGCTCACAACAATACCAACAAACCTTGTGTCCC